TGAACCTGGGCTGGCTGTGTGCAAGGCAAGCCCTTTACCACTGTGCTATTGCTCTAGCCCCTCTGGCTGTAGTTTATTTTTTTTGAGTTTGGAGGTCACACCAGGCAGTGCTCAGAGTTTACTGCTAGGTTTGTGCTCAGGAGACCACATGTGCCAGGCATCTAACCTGGGTACAGCATACTACCCACTGTACTCTGACAGCCCAAACTCCCCCCTCCCCCAATTAAACTTTCTTTTTAAATTGGAGGTTGGGTGTGCAGGCACTTCAGTGTTAGAATCACTTTGTATATTATCAGAAACAACCTTTAGTACCCTTGTTATGATGTTACTATAATTTTACAGAGGGAAAGTTTACCTCCCCCCTCCCTGCCCCCCAAGCCCCCAGTGGCTTATATAGCTTTCCTATGATTTTCTTCTTTTTATAAAACAACTACAATAACAATTTTGTAACTATATCTCATTGTGGCTCACTAAAAATTAAAAAAGAACTTGACAGACTGGAGGATTCACTTATAAAGTAACTCAAGTGGCTAGGTTGGCTCAATTATTGTCAAGTGGCCCATTCCAGGGATTATCTTGAAGTAGATGACAGCTAGCTTCCATTAATGCCAGTGATCCATGAGAGAGTGAAAAGAAATCACAGTGCATTTGATGACCTCTTTTATGACCTCTTGCCTTTTGTGACATCACATCTACTAGACTCTTGAGGAAGCAAGTTACTAAGTGAGGCACCGCAAGGGAGAAGGAAGATCAGGTTCCATCTTTTGAGGGAGAGGTATCAAAATTGTGAGTACCACTGCCTCACCAAGTGGAGAAAGGCAGTGGAGGAGATTGAGAATCCCTATTGACAGTGGCTGTAACTTTATTAACTTGTTAATGATATCTTAAGGAAGAGGAGCACAGTGTGATAATATTTTTAATACCGTACTTCTTAAGACTTGGACTATTAGCACTATGTTAACATTATTTTACTTCTCCATCTGTCTTAAATTTTACATTTAGCGGGATAGGAATAATAAAATCCGAAGACATAGTACAGTGGGTGAGGTGCTTGCCTGGCAGCCGAACTTGGGCTCAATCTCTGCCACTTCATATGATCCTCAAGCCCTGCCAGGAGAGATCCTTGACTCAGAGTGAGAAGTAAGTACTCTTAACCAAAGTCAGCATGTGCAGGATGAAAATGTAGTATCTTTATTTAGAAAGCCTACGTTGATAACTTTAATGCTGATATTTTAAATTAGGAAAAAAGTTATAAGAAGAGTATAAGGAATTTCTGTTGTTTGGTGATAGTTGATAATATATTGTATTAGTTAGTGTGAAGCCAGTAGTTTAAACCTATTAAAAGTTTTTTGATTGCCTGTCGCAGAGACTAGAATAGACTACAGGGACTCTTTCACAAAAGGATAAAGTAGATTTCATACATAATATTTTATGGTTTTTTTTGTTTTGGTGGTGCTCAGGGCTTATGCCTAGATCTGCACCCAGGGATCACTCTGGTGGTCCTTGGGGGGGACTATGCGATGCTGGAGGGCAAACCTGGGTTGGTCATGTGCAAGGCAAGCACCCTCATGTTGTATTATCACTCTAACCAAAGATTTGGTTTTTGATTTGGGGGTCACACACAGCTGTGCTCAGGGCTTGTTCTTGGCTTTGTGCTCAAAGGAATCATTCCTGGTGGGCTCAGGGGACCATATGGGATGCCAGGGTCTAACCCAGTTCACCTGCATGTAAAAGGCAAGTGCCCTGCCCTCTATACTATTGCTCTGGCGCCATCATAAAGGATTTTGGAGAAGATTGGTGTTTAGGTGACATTTAAATATAGCATTTGGGGCCAGAGAGTACTGATACCACATATGAGTTTGATCCCTGGCATCACATAAGAGTCCCTGAGTGGCAATGGGTGTGACCCAAAGGCAAACAAAAAAAGTATAAAGAAATAAATGAATAAAATATAGAGTCGATAGGGTTAAAGCAAAGCCAGAATGCTGTGTAAAGGATTAGCTTGTCAGGACACAAATGTTTTTCCTTAAAAAGGAAAATTTTAAGTCAGATAGAAATGCTATATACAGAAAACCCTTATTATTAACTCTGTACCTTTGTCAGAAATTTAGATTTCTTCTTTGCATCAAAGTCACTTATTTGATCCTCCTAACACAAGTAGCCTATTACAGAAACATTCCTCATATTCCTTTCCAGTCATTTCTCATCTGTGAGACATGCACTATTGTAATACTTTAAAAAATTTTTTTTTGGTTTCTGAACCTCACCAGATGATCATCAGGGGTATGTAACTTCTAGCTCTGCATTCAGGAATTACTCCTGGCAGTGTTCAGGGACCATGTGGGATACTGGGGATTGAACCCCAATTGGCTGGTCTCAGGGCAAGCACCCTACTTGCTGTACTACCTCTCCAGCCCTTTTCCTAGCACTTCATACCAAATTACTTTTTGCTTCATAACTGTGAGGTTCATCTGTTATTCATGACTTTTCATTGCTCATGAGCAGCCATTGAATTAACATCATTTTGTATTTATATGTCTTTTTTTTTTTTTGGTAAAGGAGGGCCCCACACCCATAGTACTCAGGATTTATTCCTAGCTCTGTGCTCAGAAATGACTTTTGGCAGGATTCAGGGGACAGTATGTGGTGCTATGGATCAAATCAGGGTTAGTTACATGCAAGACAAATGTCTTTTCCACTATACTATCTATTCCCAATATATCTGCCCCACCCCCATGCTTCCTGTTCTCGTTGTTGCAGTGACCAGAGAGGTTGCACATATTTCTCTTTTGTGCTCCCATGTTTTAGTTATGCTGCTCTCTAGGTGACACTTTTTTTTTTTTTAAATTAGTGAGACATCATGAGGTACAGTTGTAGACTTACAAATTTTTGTGCTTGGGTTTCAGTTATACAATGATCAAATACCCATCCCTCCACCAGTGCCCATTTCCCACCACCATGGATCCCAGTATTCCTCCCACCCCCTACCCCCCTGTTCCCCCCTGCCTCTGTGGCAGGGCATTCCCTTTTGTTCTCTTTCTCTTATTGGGTGTTGTGGTTTGCAAAAGAGGCAATGGGTGAAAATCATGTTTGGTCTATAGTCTACTTTCAGCATGCTTCTCCCATCTTGGGAGGATCCTCCCAACACCCTTTATTTGGTGCTCCCTTCTCTATCTGAGCTGCCTTTTCCCCTAGCATGTGTGGCTGGCCTCCAAGCCAGGGAATAAAATTCCTGGTACTAATCTCGGCTATTCTTGGGTGTTAGTCTCCTATTTTGTTACTTTATGTTCTCCAGGTGAATGCAATCTTTCTATGTCTATCCTTCTCTTTCTGAGTCATTTCTCTTAACATGATACTTTCCATGTAGTACCACTTGTATGTAAATTTCATGACTTGTCTTTTCTAACAGCTACATTGTACTCTTGACACTTAAGTATAGACACTTTAGTGCCTACAAACACAGGTGCTGGTGTTGTGCTCTTAGTTTAGGTCCGAGGGTGCATTCTCGATAGAGTACACTTCACCAAAGTTGTCAGTATCCTTAGTGCAAGTGATGATACTGGGAATGAACTTGTGACCTTGTTCTATGCTTGTGATTCCTATTTTTTGTTAATGAACTTGTTTTTCAGTTTTAGAGTATCATAAACAGGGTGCTATAAACATTCTTAAATAGCTTTCTGCCTGAATGTAGTTTTTATTTCTCAGACGTATACCTAAGTGTAAAATTCAACATCAGGGCCAAGGTGCATGTATGTATGTATAACTTCGAAGAATTTTCTCATACTCGTTATGTTTCCTTGATAGTTTATGAGCATTCCCAATTGCCTCCCATCCTTTCCAGTGTTTGGTATTAATTAGTCTAGCTTGAGGGCAAGGTGGGGTGGGGGGCTCTCAGTCAGTACTCCAGAGAGCCCAGGACTTTCTCTTGTGAATCCTCAGCCAGCTGAACCTGGATTTAATGCAAGGCCTGAAGTTGTGGTGTTGCTTGGACCCTTCGGCCCTGGGATTTCTTCGGATACTCTTCCCCGACTCCAGGGCTGTATTTGGCAGTGCCCAGGGGACCACTAGTGCCGAGGATCAAACTGGGATTGGCCACATACACCTCCCTTCTGTACTATCATTCTGGCTCCGGTGTGAATAATTTTAATCTTAGCGTTTTCTGTGCATGTGGGATGGTCTTAGTTGCTTGGCCATTTGTGTACTTTCCTTTGTGAATGTCGTTTGCTTATTTCTTTGTTGGATTGATTATGTTGTTGAGTTGTAGGAATACTTTATATCTTCTGGAAACCAGTCTTTGTCAGGCACACCTTTTATAAATTTTTCATGATCTTTGTCATGCATGTTCTTTGGCAGGACTTCCTAAACACTGCCCAGGGGTAAAGTCCAAAACAGTATTTCTCAAAGTGAGCAATATCCTCTTCCCTTGGGACAGGCCAGGACAATCTGGGGAGCAGTAGTAAGAAGCCTCAGGTGAAGTTGGGGGTCCTTACTGTTTGCTTAAAAGACTATTTCTGGAAGAAGAGGACACGAGAAAATGGGGGGTTGTTGGGACAAGTAGTTTGGGAGCTTCTTATCTAGACCTTAAGAGTATTTGGTACATTGAAGTATATTCTTGACTTGGAAACTTTCTGCTAAATACCAGTAGTCATTTTAATATTTTTGACAATGAAAAACCATTTACCCCCAAGTGTTCTTGACCTTCAACACCTTGTTGAGAGCTACTGGTTTATATATTTGAAAGGTGAGAAAATGTTGAAGTTCTAGAGCAGAGAAACTTACTTGACCTAACTTAATGGAAATCTGCCTTCTTTAAGCAAATGCCCCCCAAATGCACCTGAGGCCACTACTTCTTGTATCCCATGTGGGGACAGTATTGCCCACTTTAGGAAAGTCTGCGAGTAATTTTGTAATTTGTTTATAATGTATTAACTAAAATTAAATGAATAATTTGAGAACTTGAAAATCAAGATGACTGTTTTGTATGTTCTTAATTTTTTTAGTAAAATGAATGAAAATAAACCAGGGGACTCTCAGAACCTTGGTAAGTAATTGTATTTAAAATATTCTATTTATTCTTTTAAAAATTATTTTTAAAGTGATAACCTTTTTGGTATCAAACAATAAGGATCAACTCCCAGATTTGGGCTTAGTTCAGATATTCATATACTAATAGATAATATTATGTTTATTCCTTTTACCAAAAGTCTGTTAAGGGGGGAGAGTTTGCCTAATTTATATTCTCTATTAGGTATAATTTATATCTGAGTAAAATAGTATTTAATGAATATATTTTTACCTTTAACAATTCTTTAACTAAAGGAAAATATAGATGAGAATAGTTTAAGATTAATGATTTAACACAAGAAAAACTCATTACTTGCTCATTATAGCCCACTGTAGATTGAGTGGAGGAGATGTGACAGCAGACTTCTACTTTTTGTAGTTATTTAGTTTCAAGCACTTTACTTTGTTCTTTGAGATCCTTAAAACCGTATATCGTTAGCTTAATTTTCTGTTTTATTTGTTTATTGTTAGAGATTTTCTGTGCAAGAAAATATAGTATGAAAAAAATTGATGTTTGTCCTATGTGTCACATACGCTTTGTTAATTATATTACTGTATACTATCTTAAGTCATTTCAAGACATGGCTTAAGGCTATCTCCCTTTCTCTATCTCTTCCCTCCCCCTTCCCTTTTGTTTTTGGGCTACGTCTTGCTGTGCTCGGGGATTAAACCTGGGTTGGCCTTGTGCAAGGTAACACCCTTATCCATGTACCCTACCCATTTCTTTCTCTATTTCTCTTTTTTTTTTTAAGATCCAGAACTAGAACCCTGAAGTATTTGTTACCTGTTCAGTGTTACACAGTGTTGAAACCAAATCTTAAGTCTGATCACAATTCTACAATTTGCCTTTAAAAGGGATGGAGCGATAGCACAGCGGGTAGGGCGTTCGCCTTACAAGCGGCCAACATGGCCGACCCGAGTTCGATTCCTCCGCCCCTCTCGGAGAGCCCGGCAAGCTACCGAGAGTATTTGATATGCCAGACACAGTAACAACAAAGTCTCCAATGGAGACGTTACTGGGCCCGCTCGAGCAAATCGACGATCAACGGGAGGGCCTTTATCTTTATCTTTATTATTTAATTGTGACAAATGGAGATGTTACTGGTGCCCACTCGAGCAAATCGATGAACAACGGGATGGCAGTGACATTGATTTTATTGTGAGATACACATAAAATTCATTTTGCTATTGAGTCATAGGTCATTCCTATGCATTTTGTATACTAGACTTTTACCATCTATATTATCTCAAACCCCATTCTATAGATTTTTTTTGATAACGTCTTTTGATGTGCTCTTTGAAGTGTGTAATTTGGTGATATTTAGTTATTAATGTTATGCATCGTCACCATTATCTAGTTCCAAAATTTATTTTTGTTACTCCAAAGGAAACAATTCATTCAGCACTTTCTTATTTCTTCTCTGCTTGACCCTTAAAACCACAAATCTGATTTCTGTTTCTGGATTTATCTAATCTGGATAATGTTTATCTTACAAACATGAAATATTGTGTTTGACTTCTTCATATAATGTTTCTAAGTTCACTCCTGATGTAGCATGCATTAGTACCATTCGCTTTTTTAGAGCCGAATTCTGTTGAATGGATATGTAGCATATTTTTTATCTGTTCATGTTGATGATAGATATTTGTTTTCCTGCATTGGTTATTGAGAACAGTGCTTCTTACGAACATTAGTGTAGGGTTCAACAAGGCTTTATTGAGCATCTCTTTCAGGTTTTAGGACATTATATACCCAGGAATGGATTTGTTCTGTTGTATGGTAAATATATTTAAGTTTTTGAGCAACTGCTGGATTGTTTCTCATAATTACCAGTTTATGTTTCTACCACATGTGAGGCATTCCTTTTCTCCAGATCATCGCCCTCATTTATTACTGTCTGATATTTTGATTATAGTTATACTACTAGATATTAAGTAGTATCTCATTGTGCTTTTGATATCATTTTGCTGATAACCAATGATATTAAGCATCCTTTAATATTAAGCATCCTTTATATATTTATGTATCTTTAGAGAATTGCCTATTCATATTATTGGTCCATTTTTAAATTAGGTTGATTTTGCTATTGAGTCATAGACCCTTCTTATACATTCTGTATACTAGACCTTTACCATCTATATTATTTCAAACCCCATTCTCTAGATTCTTCTTTCTTGATAATGTCTTTTGATGTACTAAAAATTTTTACTGTGGATAGAGCAGAGCTAAACCTATTTTTGTTTTGGTGTCATGAGAGAAATGAAATCATTGATTTCAATAAGAAATCATTGCTACATTCTGGGTTATGAAGATTTCTCTATATGTTTTCAAGATTTGTTTTTTTAATAATTTTGAGTTGTATTTATTTTTGATCTATGTTGGGGTAGGGTGGGGGGTGTTTTCCAAGCAATGCTCAGGAGCAAACCCTGGGTAAATGTTTTAATGTTTGGGCCCAACAACGTCTTTCTGCTCAGGTTTAGCAATATTGGGGCCATCATGGTCACCCCAATATTGTTTGATGGACCCCAAGATTATACCTAGTGATCTTCAAAGGGACTGTGTGGTGTTGGCAATAGAACTAATGGCATCACACATTCAAGGCATACACTCCAGCCCTTTGAGCTATTTCCTCGGCTTCTCTATTAATTTTTTCACATGGTATGAGCTAGAGTTTTTTCCCCCCCCATTATCTTGCATGTGATTTTATAATTTTCTTAGTTTCCTTTGTTGATGATTCTATTCTTTCTCCATGGGCTTGTCTTGGCATCCTTGTCACAATGAATTTAACATCATTATATGGGTTGGACTATGATAATTGTTTCTTCTGTCTATCCTAGTCCAGTGCTGCTCTTGAATAGTTTTGAGTCTTGTTTTCCCTAGGTGTGTCTAGCTTAATATTTGTTTGCTTTGTTGACTTCATGGACAACCTCTTTCATTTAGTCTGTTACTTTTTTGTTATACATTTTGTCTATCTCTACCCTTTTTTTTTTTTTCTTGAGGGACAGGGACACACTTATCCTGCTTGGGGACCCCTCCCATTCCTTTTAGGTACCATGTGGTACCAGGGATGGAACTGGGACTGCATGCAGCACAGATCCTTTAATCCTCTATTGGGTCTCTGGCTCCTTTTCTCTTCTGCTACCTTTGGGTGGATTTCTCATCTTGTCAGGTTCTTCAAGGTAAAAAGAAGTTCTTGCTTTGGAAGATTTATTTTATTATATAAGGCATGCATGAGCCTAAAGATCATTCAGGTGAAATTTTAGGGTTTCTTGAGTATTTTCTGAGTATACATCAAGCCCTAGACATGTTCCTCTACGTTCCTTGGTTATATGCAGGAGGTTTGCCCTTAATTCTCCATGTAGCCTCTTCCCAGCCTCCTCTTTCCTGGTCTTTCTTGGTCTGTTTCCTACTGGAATTTTCTGTTACCTTTTCTTTCAGGCTGATGCAGCCAGTAACTTTGTCCAAAATGCCGTTGATGCGCCATCAGCTGTATAAAATCCGAGGGGAGGCCAGGGAGAGGCCCCGGCAGTTTTCCGCCCAAGTCGCCTGGGCCACTTTCCCAGCCTGGGTGGCCTGGGCCATGGGGCAGACGGAGAAGGAGACGAGGGCCAAGCCAGTTGGTGATCAGATGCTGTTTATTCCATTCTCCCCACGATCCTGCTCCAGTCTCTCTGAGCCCCCAGTCTAGTCTCCCATTCTAGTCTCACGCTGCCCCTCATTCCCGTCTCACCCTCGTCCTCTCCCTCTCCCTCTTTCTCTCGTTCAAAGGAACCACCTAAGAGGTATTTCCAAAGCCCTTCCTGACTGCCCGGGGCAAAATGCCTCAGTGTTTTTCTCCTTTCTTTAATCCAATAACTCAACCAACATCTTAATACTAGTTATTTTTGTATGGACACAGTAAGGGATACATTGAGGCTTTTAGGGCAGCTCTCCTGGAAACATTTTGCCACAGACTCAGACTACAGTACTCAGGGCAGATTAATCATTTCTAACCCTAACAGGGTCCAAATCAAGTTATTACTTTTTTGGATCATGACAGCATTTGTCCATGACTATGCTCTTAACTCATAGTTAAGCATTAGGCAATTGGGCCACGCCCATCTCGATGCCAGGGTAGCACATAGTTTACCGCTTGCCCTGGTTCTATCCAGTCCCTCATTGGGACCCTGCTTTTGGGGGTGCTAGGAGTAAGGGCAGCTGAGGCTTAGGTCAAGAGAACAGATGCCCAGGAGGAAAATATCACTGAGAATCACGTTATAAAAGCATAGCACATACTGTCTTCTTGTGTTCCTACAAAAAGGACAGTGCTCTGAATAAATTATGCAAAAGATTTAGGGAGAAGAGAAAAACAATATTTACAAGTCAACAGAGCATGAAGAGAAGTTACAAATAACTTACAAATAGAAGAGCATGCATCTGGGCCCATACTTAAAGGACCCACCACACAAGTCAGAGCACTGTACATTTGCATTTCTTTGAGAATAAGGTAAAGGTAAGGTAAAGGCCCTCCCGTTGATCGTCGATTTGCTCGAGCGGGCCCAGTAACGTCTCCATTGGAGACTTTGTTGTTACTGTGTCTGGCATATCTTTGAGAATAAATCCATATAATCTCCTCTTGATAGTTCACATCAGTAAAAAGGGGTACCAGGCCTAAGCTCATTGTTTACTGAATGAGAGGGTCTGGTAAGCAGGTAAGTTTAAATGCCATAGCACTCAGAGTTTCGTGCAGTATTTTTCAATTACTTATTAAACTTGGGGCTGGAGCAATAGTGTAGCAGGTAGGTTGCTTGCCTTGCGTATGGTCAGGTTTGATCCTCAGCAACCCATTTAGTCCCCTGAGCACCACAATGTGTGTCCCCTCCAGGCCAAAATAAATAAATAAGCATTATCCCTAATTGTTATAATTTTTTAAATCCTATTTCAGTCTCTGAAAAGTTGATTCTCATATTTTTTTAAGCACCTAATCATTTCATTTATGGATGAGGAATAGTGTTTGAGAGTTTGCTAGTCCTTTTTCTTCAGTTACATTATGGTGCAACTTGCTATTTAAAATGCATGTTGAAATTTGTCATTAAAGATAATTGAAGAAGGCCGCAGAGATAGTACAGTGGTAGGACACTTGCCTTGCATGCTGCCAGTATGTGTTCAATACCCAGAACTTTACGGTTCTCAGAGCCCAGGAGTGATTCTAGAGTTCAAAGACCAGAGTAAACCCTGAGCACCATTGGTTGTGGCCCCCAAATCAAACAAAATAAGACAATTGAAGAAAATGTAGTCTTTATTGTTTTAGAAGTAGATGTTGAAATTTTAAACTTATAGATAACATGATGACTTGCTGTCAAATAATTTAGGTGCTCAGTTAAAAAAATGTACCAGTTCCATAACCCTTTTCTTTGGAAAGTTTAAAAAACCTATTTATGCAAATATACTTTCCTCACTATTAGCTTGTGTTTTCTGTCGAAAAAATGAAGACTGTCCTAATAAGTATGGAGAAAAGAAAATTAATGAGAAATGGAATCTTGCTGTACATTACTATTGTTTGGTGAGTATATTTTTTAATCATACACATTTTCTGTTCTAAAGAGAATTAGACCTGTATGTCTGGCTTCTGAAAATTTGTTAAATAATTTGGTCGTTAAACAATACATCTTGTTGCCTACACATATAGTATCTTTTTATTTATCAGATTTTAAGTCTCTGAAATTCCTTGTTACATAGAAAAACCATTTGTCACTACTGTTTATTTTTGTCTAACTGTCTAGGGCCAAAATCTAGAAAGAAAATTGGGCCAGAGCCATACTACACCGATTAGGGTAGGGTGTTTACTTTTCATGAGACCTTAACTGGTTCGATCCCTGGCTCACCATATGGTTTCCCAAGTATCATCAGGAGTGATCCCTGAATTTAGAACCAGGAGTAAGCCCTGAGCAAGGCCAGCTTTCATGGGAATCTTAAGGAGGCCCCTCCCCCAATCTGACAACTTCCCTGCCTCCTTCTCCCTTCCTTTCCCTTCTCTTAAGTCCCTTCCTTCCTTCCTTCCTTCCTTCCTTCCTTCCTTCCTTCCTTCCTTCCTTCCTATTACTAAGTTTCTAGGGGAGGAGTTTTTACCATTATCTTGTTTTTGTTGTTGATAGTTAATAGGTCTAAGAAAAGTCTTGTTTGATGGTTCACGCAAGAAATAGAAGAAAAGTATTTTATTTCACAGAAAACTGGTAAGATAAGCTTAAAGGTAATATTTGTAGAAAAGGAAATAAAATCCTATTTTTGAGAGAGGAGGAGGAAGCAAGAGAGGGGGCAGTAAGTTCCTGTTGAGAATCTGTCTCCTCTTTGTTCCCTCCTCTCTCCACCAACTTCTCACCTCATTGAATCTTTGCCTTAAGATATTGGTAGAGCCGTTACTGCTTTGGCATGCCAAGGTTACATTGGTGTACAGCCCTTAAATACTGCTTTTATATGGCTACTTAGTTCAGTTACATAGGTGAAAGCTGAAATTGAGCATTTATTATCTCAGTTTCTGAGGGTCAGAAACCTATAAGACTGGGTCAGTAATTCATGAGGTTGCAGCTTCAATCTCACTCAGGGTTCAGTCATGTGAAAAACATGGCTGTAAGATCACCTCTGGCCCATTCTCAGGCCTTTCCACTCATTTCCTCCTATGTATTGACATATTTGGGCTAGAGCGATAGCACAGCGAGTAGGGCATTTGCCTTGCACGCAGCCAATGTGGCCGACCCGAGTTCGATTCCTCCTCCCCTCTCGGAGAGCCTGGCAAGCTACCGAGAGTATCTCGCCCGCACGGCAAAGCCTGGCAAGCTACCTGTGATGTATTCGATATGTCAAACACAGTAACAACAAAGTATCACGATGAAGATGTTACTCGATGAGTAACGAGAAAATGAACAACGGGAGGACAGTGACAGTGATTGACATATTTTAGTTCACCTAGTTACTTCAGTGGTATAATGCTGATAGACTACCTTGCTTCCCCTAAGGAACTAATAAAAGAGAGGAGGGGACAGATAGATGCACCAAGATGAAATAGGAGCTAATCTTCAGAGTCACATGCCACTGTCACTTTTGTTTTGTTTGTTGATAGTCATTAATTAGAAGAGAGTGTCTTGTCCACGCTCAAATTGAGGAGAGACATGCCTTACCTCTTAAAGAAGTATTAACAAATTTGTGCACATAAAATAATCACTCCCGCATGGCAGAGCCTGGCAAGCTACCTGTGACGTATTCGATATGCTAAACACAGTAACAACAAGTCTCATGATGGAGACGTTACTGGGCCCGCTTGAGCAAATCGATGAACAACGGGAGGACTGTGATAATCACTACAACATCTGTGTAGCAACTCTTTAAAATTTTCCTTGGAAAACCATCCAATGCATCCAGTAATGATTCTTTGTAAGACTAGTTTTTTGTCTGAGAAACCTAAAAGTTATTTTCCGCTGAGCTTGTAACCTAACTGCTTTTTATCAAGACTTTAGTGAACATGAAGTTGGAGTATAAATTTGTTGTCCATTGAATTTCAGTTTGTAAAATTAAAGAACGGCTTTTACTTGACTACTTTATTTTCTTTTTATATAGCAGAAGTATAGTCGATAGTTGTTGGGTTATTTCCTCCTAGAATTTTTTGTTTTGGCTTTAATTTTTGCAGTCAGACCCTGAAGCGGGCAATTCTACTCCCTGTACAATACTCGTGATAGGCCAATTCCAGGGTTGCTGAGGGAACATGCTGGAGATCAAATCTTAGAATCTTGTGTGTGGAACAAGAGGGTTAGTCCTTGATATCTCACAGGTCCTCCTAAGCCTCTTCCCTAGTCACTGTATCACTGTCATCCTGTTGTTCATCGATTTCCTTGAGCAGGCACCAGTAACGTCTCCTTTGTCCTAGCCCTAAGATTTTAGAAAGTGCCACATTCGAGGCTCTTTCAGGGTCAGGAGAATGAGACCCATCATTGTTACTGGTTTTTGGCATGTTGAATACGCCACCAGGAGTTTGCCAAACTTTGCCATGGGGGCAGGATACTTTTGCTGGCCTGCCAGGTTCTCTGGAGTAAGAACTAGATTATAAGATGTCACGCGGTCGCAAATGCGACTGTGTGCTTCTAGGAGCTAGGTTTTATAGTCTCTGGGTCTTGGCCGTTGATGGGATTACACAGCACCAGGGGCAGACGGTGGGTGTAACGCCTACATACTGGAAGATGGGGGATCTGGTGGAGGAGGCCCAGTCCCAATCTGAGTAGGCTTAGAGATCTATGCCCTGGGAAGATCAAGTGGAACAAGTGGGTTAGTCCTTGATATCTCACAGGTCCTCCTAAGCCTCTTCCCTAATAATAGATTTGAAATATTTAAAATTATTTACCATAAGTAATATTTAATTTTTCTTTTATTCTGTATTATTTTATTAATGACAGTGGTTGGGGGACCATATAGGATACTGGGGATCAAGTCCAGGTTCGATCCCCAGCAAGGATCACTCAAGGAAAATGCCCTCCCAGCTGTGCTATCACTCTGGCCTTGGTGAGCTTAGCAATTTTAAAAATACTGATCATAGACCCCTATCGGATATGATTTCACTGTGAACAGGAAAGTAATTCCGAACACTAATGAACTATAAAAGCATAAAGACTTAGAAGAGGTCATGTTCAGTGTTTAAATTTAATGCAATGTTTAGTGCAATACTATTTTAGTAACAAATGTTTTAAAATATAGATGTCATTGAATTTTTCCCCCTACTGGTCCAGAAAGTTGGGCACAGAACCTTAATTATGAGCCAGAAGTTCTTATTTATAATCCCATTTCTTTTCTTGGTTTAGGTTCTCGAAACATTTAAACTTCGATTAAAAATTAGATTAAAAAACATTTGTGTTGACTGTGATTTAACAGGTTTTCTATAAGTGGACCTTACATGATTGAAAATCTTATCTAGATTGAAAGTTAACCTGAAATACCACAAATAATTTGAATTTTCTCCATGTGTACAATTTATACTACAAAATATTTTTTCTAAAACATAATAGGTGTTTTTGGTTTATTTCTTACTTTTCTGTTATTTCTCAATATGCTTTTAGAAAACAATATCATTGCCTAAATTTTTAATATATGTATTTTAAAAATAAAATAATTGAAGACATAGAGCTAGTACAGAGGCTAAGGCACCTGCCTTGCAGGGGCCTACCCCAGTTTGATCCTTCACACCTCATGATCCCATGAACATTGCCCGAGTTGGCCCCAAATCAACGAATATGATTTATCACTGACAGTTAAAGAAGGCAGTTATAAATTAGAAATCATGAAATTTTAGCTTTTCTGTCCACTGTATTGGAATATTTAAGTGTTTTCTATGTTATTCCAAAATAGTTTCTTAGTGTTTATTATCTAATTGAGACTATTTCCATAGTTGATGTCAAGTGGAATTTGGCAAAGAGGTAAAGAAGAAGAAGGGCTTTATGGTTTTCTATTGGAAGACATTCGGAAAGAAGTAAATAGAGCTTCTAAACTGGTAAGTAAATAATTTACTCTTTCTAAATATAAGTTGTCAATACTAGTTAAATGTCTATTAGTTTCTCTAATAGAAAATTAGGATCATTATCACTCTGCTGTATTTCAAACCTTGAATCCTGAGTCAATCTAGCCATTCTGTTTTTGTTACACCCCGTTTCCTGGGTTGGAATGATCAAGTTGAGGTGGAAAGCTCTCAGTTGTGTGAATCAGTAATCTTTGATCTTTGCATCTCTATGACATTGCATGGTTGTTTTCAGTACCTCTACCTGTTCTGTGAAATTTAACCCTTGTTTTATCTAATCTAAGAGAAGATAATTGTGCTCAAGAAATGATTATAGATCTCCACAGGGTCTGAGTCAGAGAATGGAAAGGGATAGAAATGTATTACACACTGTTGTCTCTGTTGGAACAGTTTCATATAATAGGAGGATTCATCATTAGTCTGGGGGGAATGAAGGACTTTCTACTTGAGGAAGTTGAGAAATTAAGGTTGTCTCGTGAACATAGAAGTTGTTTAGGGCTGGACCAATAATACTGTGGGTAAGGTGCTTGCCTGGCATGCAGTCAACCTGGGTTTGATCCTGGGAACCCTATATGGTCCAGAGTCCTCCATGAGTGATTCCTGAGCACCGATCCAGGAGCAAGCCCTAAGCCCTAGGTGAGCCCCTCAAACAAATCAAAAACAGTTGTTAAGACTAATAGGAATTAAAATTCTGAGAAAGGTGCTGAAATATTGAGGTACATAAGTGACCAGAAATTAGTAAGTATCAGAAGGGTGGATGCCATTAGAATCACAATGAGATACATAGTTTCAAAGTTGTTCATGATTTAGTTCAGTCATATAGTGTTCCAAGAATTGTCCCTTCATGAGTGTCTTATTTCTCACCACCACAGACCCTAGTTACCCTCCCCTGCCATCTTTAGGGCAGTGTCTTCTCTCTCTTTGTCTCTCTCTTGTCTGTCTGTCTGTCTCTTCTCTCTCTTCTTCCCTTTCTCCTTCCCTCTCTAATGCGCCCCCCCCCCCCCCCCACCCTTTGGACCTTATGGTTTACAGTGCAGATACTGAAAGATTATTAGGCATCTCCCTTTACCTGCTTTCAACACTTGTCCAGTGTGATCATTTCCAACTGTTATTTTCATGCTGGTCCCTTCTCTATCCTAACTGTCCTTCACCCCCACACTCAATCATTGACCAGTCCTGCTGGCCCCTGTTTTCCCTGGCCTTGGATATTGTCTCATACTTTTTTTTTAAGTATCCCACAAATGAATGCAGTTGTTCTGTATCTGTGTCACTTGTTCTCACTCATTTCACACATGATACTCTGTGATACTACTCTTCATGTCTAACCACTTATAGGCAATTTCATGACTTCCTTTTTCATAGCAGCATAGTATCCCATTTTATAGATATACCATAGTTTCTTTATCCAATTGTCTGTTCTTGGGAACTCGGGTTGTTTGCAGATTCTGGCTATTGTGAATACTGCTGCAAAGTGCAGATGATTTTTCTGCTGCGTGTTTTTGGGCAACCAGTGTATATCCCCAGCAGTGGAATTGCTGGGTTAAATGGGAGCTCAATTCTTAGTTTTTTGAGGAATGAAAGGACCAATTTTAAAACTCTAAAAATAGATTAGTGGCCTACTGTCTGCCTTAGAGAACCAAAATAATGTTCTGGTCTCTATCCTGAGGCATACATATCTTACTCCCACCTCTTATATATGAAAATTAGGGAAGATAGGAAAATAAGCAGCTTCAATAAAGAAGTTTTATATGGGAAGAATGCAGAGGGTTTTAATTTAGGCAAAGATGTAAAGGCAGTTATATAAGATATTCAGGATACAGGAAGATTGACAGTAAAACAGGAGCCCCAGCACACAAGGAAAAACCTTAGAAGAGCAACACAGCTGAATCCTTTGTTGGGTATTATTATGAACATTTGAAAATGCCTTGATGCTAAAGAGGTTTATACATTTGTGATCTTACTAGAATTCCAGGTCAATTTTCTTACTGGGAGAACCTCATTTTGACAAAGTCTAATCTGGCCTGGAGAGACTTGACAGGTCAGCAATTTTATAATGGTCATTTGATGAAGGGTCAAGTGATCATTATAAAAGGTCATATCTAGGGCTCCAAAATGTCTTAATTACCTCTGTATTTTAGAAATGGCTGATTAGTCTAATAGCTTAGTTATACCTTTACATTTCAGTTAATGCGAGCATTTATTTTAGTCATTTCCTAGGTCTCCTATTATAAGTGCCACAAATGGAATCACTTAAAATAGAAATTTATTCTGTTACAATTCTAGAGACCAGAATTTTCAAATCATGCTATGAGGGCCAGAAAGATAGTACAAGGGTTAAAGTGCTTGCTTTGTGTGTGGCCAGTACCAGTTGGATCCCTGACACTGCATATGGTTTCCCGAGTACCATCAGGAATGATTCTGAGCACAGAGCCAGGAATAAGTTCTGAGCACTTCTCGATGTGTCCCAGAAAATAACAAAAACCCAAAAACGATCAGAAGGATTGCTTTCAGATGCTCATGGAAATCCATTCCTTGCTTTTTTCTGAGCTTCTGGTGGCTGCTGGTAACCTTTAGCGTTTCTTGGTTCATAGCAGATTAGCAACAATCCCTGCTTCTCTTCTGTTACTTTCCTTCTTTTTCTAATAAGGACACCAGTTATTTAAGTGCTAGCCCAAATCTCAGTGATCTCATCTTGAGATTGTTTTGGTTTTGATTTTGGGAACACACCCGGCACTACCCAGAGCTTACTCCTTCCTCTACACTCAGGAATTACTTCTGGTACCAACCCCTGTTCGCCACACCTTAATGGAAAGGCAAGCACCTTACTTGTTGTACTGTCGATCCACTTCTCATCTTGAGATTTTTTGCTATAAAGACTATTTCCTGTAAGGCAGTAGAAGAACAAATACAGGATGTTCTCATTATATTTATACAGTTACTGGACAAGGTAATGCAAGATATTAAAGGGAATAACTCGATAGCCCATGACCTCAGAATATAGAAAGGAAGACAGAGAGGGAAAGAAATCGAGGGAGGGTAACAAGAAATTGTTATGGGAAGTAAGGGCTACAGGGGTCCAGGGCTTTGGATTCATCAGTGATGTAGAGGAATGGTATAGTTAAATATCCAAACTGCAGAGTCAGTAACACTAAAAGCAGGAGATCTAACCACAACAACCAGATTTAAAAATGTGCATCAGAATGAAGAGAGTACAGTGGGTAGGGTGCTTGCCTTGCATGCAGCTGATCTGGGTTTGATCCCCAGTACAGCACATTGACCCCTGCGCCCACCAAGAGTGATCCCTAAGTGCAGAGCCAGGGGTAAGACCTTAGCACTGCTGGGGTGTGACCCAAAAATGGTGGGGGGAAATGGCTTGTCATGGAGACAGGCTTGTGGAGAGAACAGGAGAGGGAACTTGGGAACAGTGGTGTAAGCAGCTTGACACTGATGGTGGCAATGGTGCTAGGGCATAGTAATGCCTAAAACTCAATTATGAATAAGTCACTCTGTCTTAATTTTTAAAAATAGACTATTTCCAAGTGAAGTGACATCCATATGTGCCCAGAATTAGTACTTGAACACATATCTTTTGGTAGAGGGATCACTATAGATCGTTTGTCATGTTTTGTTGTTCTTGATATTTCCTAATATGTGTTTTCTATTGAGATTTGAATGAGACTTTTACATATAGCCATTATATTTACAAATGTGGTATAAAATGTCTTATCAGCTATGAAGAATATTGTTTGTGTCCTGTAAAAAATCTAAGCATGTCGAAGGTTGTGTGTTCGTGGGCTCTCTGGGTGGCTGTATCTCACCGCCCGCGTTTGGTGCTCTTGAGCCTCTATGTGTGGCCTGGATCAGGCCGGCTGTTGGCCAAGGGCAGATGAAGGAAGAAACAAGGGCCAGGCCGGTCAATATCAAAGTTTACTCCAGTCTTCTTCACTCCTGTCTCTCCTCTGCCTCCTCCTCTCCTGGGCCCCAATCTGGAACCCCTTCTCCTTCTGGCTCTGACTCTGAATCTCTGGAGCCTGAGCCCTCTCACTTCTGACTCTGCTCTCCAAGCTTACAGTCTTAGTTTATATAGCAATCACGTAAGGCGGTGACACTAAGGTGGGTTGAATATTGACAAATCACAATGAGAGGTAAGACCACTCCTCCAGGAAATTAACTCAAGGATAAAATCTCATCTAAAGAGATTACTCTAGATTACTAGGAAATCCGCTCAAGAGTGGTATCTTAACAAGGGTGTGTTCTTTCCTCAGCTAGTAATCTACTTAAATAGTTGTAGTAAATCTACTTCTAATATTTCTAGCAATGTCATTCTGTGTGAGCACAGTAAGTGATATAAAAATCTCATTATACATTCCGCGATCCTGAGGCCAGGTTAGTCTTCCTAGCCCCAGCAGGGTCCTAGTCTCGTTGTTATTTACTTTTGGATCATGACAGCATTTGTCCATGATCATGCCCTCAACTTATAGTTGAGTATTGTGGTGCTTTGGCCTAGTCCATTTCGATGCCAGGGTAGCTCACAGCTTGCCCTGGGTCCATTCAGTCCCTCGTTGGGACCCTGCTTTTGGGGTGCTAGGAACTAGGGGCAACTGAGTCAAGAAAGCAGATGCCCAGGAGTAAATATTATTCGGAGTCAATCAACTCCCAAGTTACAAAGCATAATACTAACTGTCTTCCTGTGTCCATACAGAAAGGACATTGTTTTAAGGTAAACTATTCAAAAGACATAAGGAGAGGAGAAAGGCAATATTAACTTATAATACAAGTTCCAGTGCCCTGGGATGGGTGTGACCCGATAAACCTAAGCTACCTGAGGAAGGACAAAACAGTGTTATCCTGCAGTGTCCTATCAACATCTTAAGTTCTTGCTAGTTTGAGGGAAGGGACATGTGGGGCCCAGTTATACTCAGCCAGCTCAGCTCAATAGCTAAGTGTGAGGGTCCTCAGTGGTTCCAGTTCCAGGACTCTCCAGTGTGCCCCAGCAGTGCTTTGAGGGGGCCTCCAAGGCTGTTTTGGAGTGGATGCACTCCAAATAAGGGTATTTTTATCAGAATATTAGGGTGGTGAATCATTGATATGTTTGGATTATTTTTCAGTAGAACAAATTTTTGTAATTAAAATAATTTTCAGACTAAATGAGATGGGGCCAGAGTGGGTAGGGCACTTGCCTTGCTTGCAGCTAATCCGGTTTCAATAATAGACATCCCATTTGAGTTAAGTCTCCATTTTTCTGTCAGGACAGAAGTGATCCTTGAGCACAGAGCAGTGGTGGGTGTGGCCCCAGAATAAAATGACGAGCTCAAACTATTTGAGGAAGTTATTTCTGTTATTCTTATAATAGTATTAAAAAATTAAAGCTTGTGGATCCCATTTTGTTATTTTTTTTCCTAGAAATGCAGTGTTTGCAAGAAAAATGGTGCTTCAATAGGATGTGTTGCACCCCGATGTAAAAGAAGTTATCATTTTCCTTGTGGACTCGAGAGAGAATGTATTTTCCAATTCACTGGCAATTTTGCGTGAGTTAATTAACTGTTGTATGTGAATTTTGAAGTTAGAAAATAGATATTATTCTTCCTGCAATATAAATCCTTTGTAAAATTTCTTTCACAGCTGCACTATTATATCCTTTTTCTCTTTTGCTTTATAAAGTTATTTCTGTCTTTAAAGAGCTGTCTTATTTGGAAGGCTGGAGAGATAGTATAGCAGGTAGGATTGAACGCAGCAAACCTGGGTTTGATCTCTCGCTTTCATCATGGTGCATTGAGCCTCTAAGGGTGATTTCTAGTGCTGAGTAGGAGTGACCCTTGAGTATCACCAGATGTAGCACAGTAAAACAAACAAAACCCAAATGTATTGTGGGTGAGAGACTTGGCTCACTGATAAAATACATGCCTTGCATGACCTGGGTTTCATATCTGGCACCACCAAAAAATTTATTTCATCTAGAATGGCCTTACTGATTGATTATTAGCTTTAATTCATAGTCATTGAAAATTTTCACCTCACATAATTCTTAACATTGGTCACTTTTGATCTTATCCTCCATTTTTCTTTCCAAAAACCCACATTATTCATTGAGCACATTGATATTGTGTAAATTTGGTATAGTCCAGAAAAGAAATATTCTTTGAAATATTTATCCAGAAAAATACATGTTCCTGAAATATTTGCTTCTTGAGTCTAACATCAAATATCTAGGTATTAGAGGCTGGTGCACCAGTACAGTGTTAGGGCGTTTGTTTTGCACATGGCCAACCTGGGTTCTATATCTGGTTCCCCAGCACTGCCAGGAGTGATTCCTGAGTCCAGAGCCATAAGTAAGCTCTGATAACTGCTAGTCCAGAGCCACAAGTAAGCTCTGATAACTGTGGCCATGACTGAAAAACAATTAAAAGAAAAAAATCTGGTTATTAGGGCCCTTGGTAGTCCAGTGGATTAGGTATTTGCCTTGTAGGCAGATGATGCAGTTTCAAATCCTGGCACTCAGCATACAGTCCCCCAAACGCCATCAACAGTAACCCCTGAGCTCAGCCAGGTGTAGCTCAAAACTAAACAAAGATTTTATTAATACTGTTTGGTGTTATTTGTGGGATTTTTTCCCCCCTCATTTTTTCCCGTTCTATTTCTTTCAGTCTTAGAGTGCTTGGTCTTTTAAATTTTTAATATTTTTGGTTTCCCAAGCTGTGATTGGGAACACAAAGACAATTACCAGTGAGACTCAGTCAGGGCCTCTGAGTCCCATCAGTGCTGGGGCTCCCCCTGATGGTGCTTGTGGTAGGTGTGTGGAGCCCCCCCACAGGCCAGGGACCAAACCCTCTGTCTCCCAGGCACCTCAGAGCTTATATTTATTTGACTATTGCTTAGTTAAAAGAAAGAAGACAAAACTACTATTTTAGAAAACACAAATGGAAAAATAGTTGTAATTTAGTTTGCATTTTACTTTGTGATTAAATAATTTTGCTTGTTTTGCACTGTTGACTGCTGCAATGGTATGTATACCTTGTTGCTAACATTAGGTAGAATTTGTAGCATTTTATTTACTCAGATTCTATTAGGTAAAACAAGGTGTACATTTTAAAGTTCTGTTTTTTTGTGTTAGGTTTTATGATGATTTATGTTTTCTTTTATAAGTTATGAGAGAATTTTCTTTTAAATGTCAATTATAATATCAGATTTGTGCTTTCCTATTTTTAAATATTTGTAACTTATATTTTTAGGTCATTCTGTTGGCACCATCGACCTGTTCAGATGATTACAGCTACTAGTTACAGAGACTCCTTACCATGTACCATTTGCTTGGAATTTATTGAACCTATTCCAACTTACAGTGTGTTACGCAGCCCTTGTTGTAAGAATGCTTGGTTTCATAGAGACTGTTTACAGGTAAGATGCTTTAAAGGGGTTTCCTAAAATTTTGATCCCAGGGCCTCACACATGCAAGGTTTGTGCAGTGTTGATGAGCTATATTTTTGACCTTTAGTTTATATTAGAATTGACTTATTTTAGCTTTCATACTTATAACCCATTTTTGTTCATTTTCCTTTTTTAAGAAAAAGTTTTTGGTCTTCGGTCATGCGCCAGCAATTCCCAGAACTTATTTCTGGCTCTGTGCTCAGTGATTGAATCCTGGTCAGAGGCCTGCAAGGCAAAATGCTCTACCTGCTATACTGCCACACCAGGTCCTGTAGCAGCTTTTAAAAACAGCTTTATTTAAATTTTACATATAAAGCATACTCTTTTGATGTACATTTTATATTTTGTACATCCGTTAGGATACCATGCTGTTTTGTTTTTGTTCTCTCTCATTTTGGGGGCACACCTAGAGAGTGGAGTGGGGGGGGTGCTCTCCAAGCATGCTCAGAGACCATGCATTGCCAGGGAATGACTTCAGCATGTAAAACATGCACTCCAACCCTTTGAGCTATATTATTCCTGGCACTAGAATATTACCATCTAATGTCTACAACTAAAATATTTAGATGGATTTACCTAAGCATTGTGTTTCAGAGTGAGTATCACTGTATCATTGTCATCCTGTTGATCATTTGCTTGAGCAGGCGCCAGTAACATCTTCATTCATCCAGCCCTGAGATTTTAGCAGCCTTTCCTTACTCGTCCTTCCCAACGAGTAAGGGAAGGCTCTTACAGGGTCGGGGGAATGAGACCCGTTATTGTTAGTGTTTTTGGCATATGGAATACACCACGGGGAGCTTGCCAGGTTCTGCCTGGAGCAATAGCATAGCTGATGGGGCGTTTGCCTTAGTTTCGATTCCCAGCATCCCATGTGATCCGAGCACTGCCAGGAGTAACCCCTGTGCATCTCTGGGTGTGACCCAAAAGGCAAAATAATAATAATAATGATAATGATAATGATAATAATAATCATCCCTCTTCACAGTGAGTACAGATTAAAATTCCCAACTTTTACGCATTTAAGCTAGAAAATCAAGACACGTAAGTTAAAAATTTTATTAAGCTGAGATATATAAATGATCATAGACCTTTGTTTTGTAGACTTTGTAGAAGCTAGTAATACTTTCTAATGACTTCTGGACAAAAAATGAATTATTAGGGTTAGAGCTATAGTACAGTGGTTAGGGCGCTTGCCTTGCATGCGGCTAAGCTGGTTCCAATCCTTGGCATCCCATATGGTCCCTTAAACGCTGCCTGGAGAAGTTCCTGAGCATTACCAGGTGTGACCCAGAAAAAAAAAAAAAGAAAACAAAAACAAAAAAATAAAGAAATAAAAATATTGATTCTTTGAGAACCACCTTTGTATACCATACCTGATGTGAGCTATTCAAGTATATGAAATAGGACATTAAACACATTTTTTTTTTGTTTTTAATTTAGAAAATACTTGAGGGGCTGACAAAATAGTACAGTCGGTAAGGCACTTGCCTTGAGTGTGGCCCAAAAACAAAAATAAAATGGAAATGAAACTTTTAAGAAGAACTCAGCTTTCAGTGCATCAAATATGTGATATAATATGCATATGTAGTCTCTGGGTCTTGGCCGTTGATGGGATTACACGGCGCTGAGGGGCAGTTGGTGGGTGTAATGCCTACAAAGAGGAAGATGGGAGATCTGGGTGGAGGAGGTCCAGTCCCAATCTGAGCAGGCTTGGAGATCTACGCCCTGGGTCCCGCACACCTGGGTTCCTCTGCCAGTTCCTCCATGGAACCCACCAACTGCCCCTGGCGCCGTGTAATCCCATCAACCGCCAAGACCCAGAGACTATAAAACCCTGCTCTCAGAAGAGAACAGTGCAGAGTCTCCTGCCTCCGTGCCTGGCTGTCGTCAGCAGGGCCCCTTGGAGGAGGGTGGGTTGAGTTTTCCTTCCCACCCGAGCAGAGCCCCGGCAGCTGAAGACCTCTGGTTCCAACCACAGCCGTGCTTAAGACCACTCTCCACACGTTTGAATGAGCTTCACACATGAAGGAACTGGCAGAGGAACCCAGGTGTCCGGGACCTGGGGCATTCATCTCCAAGCCTCCTTGGATTGGGACTGGGCCTCCTCCACCCAGATCTTCCATCTTCCACTATGTAGGCGTTACACCCTCCAACTGCCCTCCCCCACCCCCACACCCTTCCCGGCCGCTGTGTCATCCCATCAATGGCCAAGACCCAGAGACTATAAAACCCTGCTCCTGGAAGTGCGTGGCCACATTTGTGGCCGTGTGTTATCTTATTATCCAGTTCTCACTCTTGAGAACCTGGCAGGCTACCAAAAGTATCCTGCCCACACGGCAAAGTTTGGCAAACTCCCCGTGGCGTATTCAGTATGCCAAAAACCAGTAACAATGATGGGTCTCATTCTCCCTGAAAGAGCCTGAAAGAGCCTCGAATGTGGCACTTCTTAAAATCTCAGAGCTAGGATGAAGGAGACGTTACTGGGACCTGCTCAAGGCAATCGATAAACAACAGGATGACAGTGATACTGTGATGCATATGTAAAACCAAATGGTAATCAGTAGAATGCCAAATAACAAGGATTTGCTTAAGTTTATGACTGGATTTTAAAGTTTGGCTTTTATTATTGCTTAGTAAAATAAAAATTGTTTACAAATTATCTGCATTTTTTAAATTTAAGTTAGAGGATACTTTTTTATTTTATGTAGGAGTACTGCTATTTCTTCAGCCATTGATTAAGCTGATTGAATTTGGCATGAACTCCACGTTACTTTTTTTTTATTCAGTATGTTAATTTGATTTTATTATTTTTTTATTACTATTTTTTAATCACTGTGAGATACAGTTACCAAGCTTTCCTGTTTGAGTTTCAGTCATACAATGATCGGTCACCCAACCCTCCACCAGTGCACATTTTCCAACACCCAGAACCCCAGTATTCCTCCATCTCATCGCTCCCTCTGCCTCTATGGCAGACAATCTCCCCATACTCTCTTTTGTATTGCTTGTTATGAATAGCATAAGATGATGTGTGGCCGCAAGAGTAGCCACGTGTTTCTGGAATTGAAGAAATCTCTGCAGTGAGCTGCTTGATTCGGAGATTCTTTTGTGTGTCTCTGGATCATGGCTTTTAAGGAGCTTAAGTCACAGCCAGAGGTAGTTTGTGGGTGTGACCTCCAGGGTCCTGTGGGGGGGGGGGGGGCGATGAGAGGGACCAGCCCATCCTCTATCCCTTGAAGCCTGGAGTTTGCTGTCACCGTGTACCTGCACTTCTCATTGGGTTCTGGAAGTTGGTGGCCACTGAGGTTTTTATGGGGCAGGTGCAAGGACAACGCCTGCCCCCATCTGAGGCACCCTCAGTGAAGTTCGGCCTGGCTTAAAGTCCAGAGGTATCTCTGCAGCAAGATGCTCGGTTTGGAGATTCTTTTGTGTGTCTCTGGATCATGGCCCTTGTTTCCATCTTTTCCAGAGAAATAAACTATTGGCATATGCCCTGCAGGGTGCGCCCGCTTGCCTGCATTGCGCTGCAGCACTCACCCGAACTGCGACTTTTGATCTCTTGAGATTTGTGGGTCTCTGAAATAAGGACAATAAATGAGCATTTATAGCTGAGCCGGAGGTGGTGTGTGGCTGTGGCTCCCATATACCTAACTTTTGACAGTTTAATTTCTTGGTGAACTTGGCCCCAAGTTGTTGGGCTCCTGCCAAAGGCACAGTGGCAATTTTGGGGTATCAGGAAGTCTGAAGGCACCATCAGGCTGTTGATGCACTCGTTCCGCAGGTAACCTGCTGGCGGCACCATACCCCCAGAAGACACATTTTTATTTCAATAAAGTCCTTAGTGACTAATGGTAGTTGAGCAATAAAGCTTAATTACTTTGTTTTTTGTATGAACCTTGAACTTTAGAATTATTCAGTTAATGGAATCTATTTTGTTGGATAAATTTTAGAAATTCTTACAAAGTATAATGTGTAAGAGAATTCAGGAAGTACAATTCATAAACAGTATCATGAGGTGCATTATCTTTGCTTCTTGAGGAAAAAGTTCATAAGAGAATCTTTATAAAAAAGTAATTTTCTTAAGGATTCAATTTTTAGTATTTGTTGCAAATGTACTACCTGGTTAATTTTGTAATCTTATTTTCAAGATAAACATTGTGTCTCATTTATATTTATAATGAAACAGGTGTTCTACACTTGGACCTAGTATTTGTAGGTTTTTATCTATAAGCATGCTGAAAATGCAGAGTTTCTGTCATTAAAAAATTGAAATATTAGTGAACAATTTGAGTTTGGTTTATGTAAGTATATAAAATCACAGCCCCAGGGACACTGATTATATAAATATCAATAGACATGTATTTGATTGCTTCTAAGTTACTTGATTGATTACTTAGTTTATTAGATAAGACAGGGCTAATTCTTGAGTTTTATTCTATAAAGAGCTCAAATGACGTGATATTAGAATTTCTCTTTCTCTTTTTTTTTGTGTGGGGGGTGTATGCGGAGAATGACTGTCCAGAGGTTATGTCTGGCTTTATCTTTTATCTGGCTGTTCCAGGTTAGTGCTCGGCTCATGCTTGGGAGGCACCATTTGGTGATTGAACCGAGGATTTTTCTGTGCAAAGCATGAACTTCAACCTATTGAGCTATCTCCTTTTTAGTTTCTTTGGGGCAGGGGGCGGCAGGGGTGAATGGGTGGTTGGGCTCCACCTGACTGTGCTCAGGGCTTACTCCTGGCTCTTCATTCAGGTATCACACCTTATGGGAGTGATCACATGCACATGCGCAAGTACCTCTGGAGCCCAATAACTGCCTCTTCAGCCCCTCTAGCCCTAGTATTCTAGAATCTAGAATTCTAGAATCTAGAATTCTATTATACTAGCTGCAATCTGCCCTATCTATCAGGGCTGCTTAAACTTTTACCAGCATTTCTGCAACACTTCTTAACAACCCCATATTTTATATGAATCTCAATATATAAAAATAGGTATTTTGTGTAAATCACATTTACTGATACTAAATCTTAAATTTAAGACTAATCATTTGTGACCCCACTGCATAAAGGATCTCAACCCACATTTTAAGAAGCTAGATTCTAGGGGTTGGAAAGATAAAACACTGAGTAGGGCACTTGCCTTGCATAAAGGTGTCCCAGATGATGTCCTGGACCTGTATGTTTCCCTATGCACCTCTGGGTATGGCTCTAAACCAACAATCACCCTCCTCCTCCTACAAAAAGGGGGAAAATGCTTTAAATTGTAATACCTGAAGGAAAAATGGTGTGAATCTATAAATTTATTTAATATAAGAGAAATTTACAGAGTAGAATGAGAGTGATGAGTGGTTAAACAAATTCAATTAAGATCAGTATATGTTGGAATTTTTTGAGGAGCAACCAATGAATATCAAAGAAATGATTTTTTCACTATATGTTATTCTCACTATTCTTGTTCAGTTTTGAATTTCTCCATTTTTTTTAGCTTTCTTTTATAACTTGATTGCTTTTTCATTCAGTTTCTAACAATGGGTTTCCTCTTTTCCCCTATAGGTTCAAGCAATAAATGCAGGAATGTTTTTCTTTAGGTGCACGATATGCAATAATACTGATGTATTTCAGAAGGAGATGTTGAGAATGGGAATTCATATTCCTGAAAAGTGAGTGAGATTTAGCTTTTTTTTAACATATAAAGATGTTTTAAATATTGGCTTTAATTGCAGAGGATATGGTATACATGTTTGTGATTACGTGATGGTGGGCAAGCAGACACTTAAAATTGGAAAAGGTAAAATTTCCCTGCCTTCTTTTTCTTCCTCATCATTATTATATTATTGAGAACAGGAGCTATGACTTAAATACACCACTTTTTGATTTATAATCTCTTTTTCTTTTCTTTTTTGGGCCACACCCTGCATGGTCAGGGGTTACTCCTGGCTCTGCACTTAGGAGTTAACTGGTGGGCATGAAGAACCATAAGGGAAGCTAGTGATTGAACTCAGGTTAGCTACGTGCAAGGCAAATGCCCTACCCTCTGTACTCTTGCTCTGGCTGCTGATTTATAACCCCTTGGGGAAAAAAAAAGAAAACTCAGTTGTTTCAGTTTATACATAAGTATGATAGTCTTCAAAATAGTATGCATAAATTATCCCAGAGAATCAGCATAAGGTTTAAAATGTAAGAGTTTTTTAATTTAAGGACTTCAGAAATAATGGTGCTAAAATTGAAATTTGAAAGTGAACTATTAGGAAAAGTGTAGGTTTTAGGATATTCTGCTTAATTTTTCTTTAACTCTTAAAAATTCAGAGTACATACAGGAAAAAGGACATGAGTAGATTTATATGTTAAAGATTTATCTTTAAAAATTTGAATTCTTCATCAGTAAAAGGTTTTTATCTTAAATTTATTACTGATCCTTTTTGTAACATTTTAGATAAACTATGTTATTTGCTTTATTTGCAGAGATGCTTCTTGGGAATTAGAGGAAAATGCTTATCAAGAGCTTCTGCAGCACTATGAGAGATGTGATGTCCGAAGATGTCGTTGCAAAGAAGGGCGAGACTATAGTATGCCTGATAGGTATTTCAAGAAATTCATTTATGCTCACAGTTTAGTTGAGGTCTAACTTGAGAAAGTAGATTTTCTAGTTATTCAGTACTCTTGGGCTCTCTAATTAGAGATGCTAAGTATAAAATTATTTGTAACTATAAGAAATCATTGTAACTAAATAGTTTTTAGCTTATTTTTGAGTTGTATTTTCATGAAGCTCTATTTTCTAGAGCTATGTGTGTGGTAGCCGCTAGAGACATTCTGATCTCTTATTTCAAATGGAGAAGTGTTTTATCAAAGACTTCTCTTTGTTTGTTTGTTTTTGGGCCACCTGGCTCTGCGTTCAGGAACCTCTCCTGGCAGTTTTTAGGGGACCATATGGGATGCTGGAGATTGAACCCAGGTCAGCTGCATGCAAGGCTAGCACCTTATCCACTGTACTATCTCTCTGAGCCCTCAAAGACTTGCTTTCAGTTAAAGTGTACTATTAGAAAATAAACAAGTATTCTCCTTAATGTCCTAGAGATTGTGAGTTCAGGAAAGGGTATGATAGGCTTGGTTTCTACCAAAGCATCTTTTGTTGGCTTCACATGTTTGTTTATATCCTATTCATAAGGGATCAAATCAAACTGGAATAGGGTTAATGAATAAAGCCTTATTTGTCTGATCTCTTTAAAGGCCCTGATTCCAAATATAGTTATAATTTTAGGTCCTAGGGATTTAGACTTCAACATGAATATTGTGGAAACAAATTTACCCCATGATAGTAAGGAAAAGAATATAAATGTTATATTAAATCTTTTTTCTTTTCTTTTTTATCTTTCTTTGTTGTTGTTGTTGTTGTTTTAGGGCATGCCCATAGATGCTCAGAGCACTCAGGGATCACTCCTGTCAGTGCTCGGGTATAATATGGGGTGCTGGGGATCAAACCTGGGTTGGGGCATGCAAAGGCAAATGCTTTACTCACTATGCTATTCTCGTCCCCAGGTGTCATGTTAAATTTTTGTACTGATTACATATCAGACAAAATGGTAGTATTTTGAAAATACTCAAATTTATTTCATATATTTAAAAAAAATTGTTACTTGAAAATTTTAATTTACATTTGATTTCTGCTTGATGCTGTTCTCTTCCAGGAGTTGGGTTTTATAGTCTCTGGGTCTTGGCCGTTGATGGGAACCACCTGGCGCCGGAAGCGGCTGGTGGGTGTAACGCCTACCTACTGGAAGATGGGGGATCTGGGTGGAGAGGGCCCAGTTCTGATCCGAGCAGGCTTGGAAATCTCAGCCCCCGGACCCACATGCCTGGGTTCCCCTGCCGGTTCCTTCATGCATGCTTGTCCAGACGTGTGGAGAGTGGTCTCGGCATGGCTGTGGCTGGTTCTGGAGATCTTTGGCTTCTGGGGCTCTGCTCGGGGCAGGGAGGGAAACTCAACCTGCCCACCTCCGAGGGACCCCGGTGAGGACAGCCAGGTGCGGGGGCATGAGACTCTGCCATGCATGAAGGAACCGGCAGAGGAACCGAGGCATGTGGGTCCTGGGGCTGAGATCTCCAAGCCTGCTCGGATCGGGACTGGGCCTTCTCCACGCAGATCCCCCATCTTCCAGTAGGTAGGTGTTCCACCCACCAGCTGCTGCGCCCGCCAGGTGGTTCCCATCAATGGCCAAGACTCAGAGACTATAAAACCCAGCTCCTGGAAGCACATGGCCGCATTTGTGGCTGCGCGACGTCTTATCTCATTTTTACTTTGGAGAACCCAGCAGGCTACCGAAAGTATCCTGCCCATACGGCAGAGTCTGGCAAACTTCCTGTGTTGTACTCAGTATGCCAAATACCAGTGACAATGATAGGTCTCATTCTCCTAGCCCTGAAAGAGAATTGAATATGACTCTTTTAACGGGTAGGGTGTTCGCCTTACAAGCGGCCAACATGGCCGACCCGAGTTCAATTCCTCCGCTCCTCTCGGAGAGCCCGGCAAGCTACCGAGAGTATTCGATATGCCAGACACAGTAACAACAAAGTCTCCAATGGAAGCGTTACTGGGCCCACTTGAGCAAATCGACGATCAACGGGAGGGCCTTTACCTTTACCTTTACCTTTACCTTTACCTATTAAAATCTCAGGGCTAGGAAGAAGGAGACATTACTGGTGCCTGCTCGAGGCAATTGACGAACAACAGGATGATCGTGACCGTGATCGTTCTATTTGATGTCACTGGTCTAGAGGCTAGTTTAGTCTAGCAGTGTTTTTGATATCTATAGAAAAGATTTGACATTTTATACTTATTGCTTTTATAATGTCCATAGATAATGGCTCTAATTTTGTCAACGATCATTTTCTGTCTGTACATTATAATGTTTTGTATATAAGAATCAAGTGTATCTTTTGGAGGTAGAGATCACAAAGTAACATCCAGCTTTGTGAACATTTATGTAGGTTTTAATAATAAAATATGTTTATTAATTTTATTTATGTAGGTTTTAATAATAAAAATATGTTTATTAATTTTGGGTCTCTCCAGTTCTTGGGGGCCTAGATACCATTGTTAGAGCTCCTTAGCTCGGAAGTGCTGGAATTGGGTGATGCATTCCAGAGACTGAACTAGCGGGCCACTGTGCAAGGCAAACACTCCATCCCTTTGAGCTCTCTCCTTTATCCCTATAGATTTTTATCTGATTGAGCAATTTGACATGCATGCCAGACAGAATATTGGGAGTCTTCTTGTCGAATATGACTTGACTGAATGCGAACTATGAATTGAGAACTCAGAGGAGTCTTAACCAGCTTTGAATGTTTCCTCTAGGCAGTTCTACCCATTCCTTTCTCCCTATTCTGGGCTGTATTTTCCTATCAGTCTCTTGTTACAGCATAATTGGTGTTTTTAAAATTTTCTTTGTTATTAATCTAAAAATTATTTTAAGGATAGTCTTCTTATTTTAAGATGTCAGATCTTGCCTGTATTGGTTTGGGAAGTCTATTATTCATTTATAAACAATAATAATGCTCCTCAAATCTTATGCTGAGGAACAGATGAAATCTGGTATATAAGTTGTGTTTAGTAAAGTGCTTTAATATTCCAAGAAGTGATTTATTGATGTTGATATTCTTAAAATTCATTTCAGGCTTTTTTCAAAATTTTTATTTATTTTAACTATTTTTTCTTTATGGTTCTGTCATCCCAATTGGTAGTTATGGATCTCCCTTTCTCTCTCATCCGAGTGATAGGAAGGCAGTTTTGCTGAAGACTGAATGGGGTAGGAGCATTGGCCTAAAGTCAGGAACACAGTTGACAGGCTTGATTTGTATGACTTTACCTCTCTGTGCTTTCTGGTGTGACTATGCCTGCAGGTGTACACTGACATTTTAGTTCAGGCATTTGAAATTAGACATTTATTTAGAGGAGGTGGTTCAAAGCAATGAAAGTGAAAAAAGTACAGGAAAAAAAAAGTGTATCAAAGCAGATACTATTTTCCCTTATTTGGTACAAGTGTGTGTGTCTCTGAGAGATAAAGTTGGGGGTAAAGTTGGGAGTGACAATAAAGCCTATAGTGGGATTATAATTACAAAAATGTGAAATCTCCTTCTCTTAATGTCCTCAGCGAATGGGAAATAAAGCGCTGTCAGTGTTGTGGTTCTAGTGGAACCCATTTAGCATGTTCCTCACTACGATCATGGGAACAGAACTGGGAGTGTTTGGACTGTAGAGCTATTATCTACAATTCAGGTAATATTTCTGTAACAGAAAAAATGTTTTCATTCAAATGTTACTTAGGAGTTCCTTCTATTTATATTTCTCTTATGCTAACATTGAGTTTTAAATCTGCAGGGGAGTTTCGAAAAGCTAAAAAACATTCTTTAGTTGGTTCTAATAATGTGTCAATCACTGATTGTCTGTTGGAAGAATCAGCACCTAAATTACCCAGACAGTCACCTGGATCCCAGCGTAAAGATCTGAGGTGTGTAATTTGATTGGAGAAAAATAAAATAATGTGTTTTGAGAAAAGTATGTCAGAAAGTATCTGTATGCATTTAGAATATCACTTAGAATATTATCTTACCTTTTAGCTTTCTGGAAAAGAATTTCCAACTGCAGATAGCAGCATTTGACTATAAAGCCAATGTAACCATCATTTTAAAAAGACAACAAGACAGAACTGAATATAAAATAGCATGTTGCATTACAAGTTGAATGTGAAATAATACAGATTTTCAGAGTAATTTAAAGATATCTAAAAATGCTTAAAATGTTACTTGCTTATAGAGTGCCAGGTAGGAAATTAAAATATCAAGAATACCATGTTACTTGAAGGCATTTAATTTAATATCAACCTGTTTTATGTTGAAAGCACTTTCTTAATATATTTATAATCAGTATCTAAAGTCTAAGTGTGAGTTCTTTAGAATGACCAAATTAGGATTATTAAAGCTTATTTCCATACAATAAGAGCTACATAAAACTTAAACATTTAACACCCGAATTATATCATTGTGCACTAGCTTAGCTGACACAAGAATTTTATGTAGCTTTGCAAGAGTTTGTAGAACTTGTTTCAGCCAATAATGAGAAAACACAAAAATTAACATTAGCAGGCATGACGAAGTACTTTTTTGTTAAATAATGGTACCAGTTAAAACTTAGGAAAAGAAAAAATAAGTTTAATGAAAGTACTTGGTAACTGTATTTGCTTGTCAAAGTGGAATTAGGAAGGGTGCTCTTTAAAATAGTGAAGAATTTATGTTTTAAAGTAGTATTTGTATTAGCTCATAGTTTGTCACATATTTTTAAGAATATTTTAAGTATCAGCAAAATATGCGCACATTTTATTTGGGACATTTTTAATATTTAGGTCTCAAAAATAATATATGGGAAAGTCACATTCCTTGGTTCAGCATTAACATACCATCATATTCTGGAACATTAGCATCTGCATTTCAGATGAACCATACAGGAGCAAGAACTCACTCTCTTCTGTCACTGTCACTGTCACTGTCACTGTCCTCCTGTTGTTCATCGATTTGCTCGAGTGGGCCCACTAACGTCTCCATTGTGAGACTTGTTGTTACTGTGATTGGCATATCGAATATGTCACGGGTAGCTTGCCAGGCTTTGCCGCGTGGCGAGATACTCTCGGTAGCTTGCTGGGCTCTCCGAGAGGGGCGGAGGAATCGAACTCGGGTCGGCCATGTTGGCTGCATGCAAGGCAAATGCCCTACCCACTGTGCTATCATTCCAGCCCCACCCTTCTATATAGCAGGTTTATTTCTGAAAGTTTATCTCATTTCTAAAGAACTTTGATTTCCTTCAACTTGGGTTTCAAATTAAGTAAGGGACTTTATGAAGAAAAACATAAAACACGGTGGTGAATTGTAATACCTTAGATGGGGGAAAATTTGTGATTGATGTAGAACATTTTTATGGTGGGGGTGGGAATTAGACATAATGCCTCACCTCTGGGAGACAGGCACACTACTACTGAACTACATCCCAGTTCTGGGATATTAAATGATGATTCAGAGCTGAAGGAGAGATTATAGCAGTTAGGTTTTGTCTTGTACATGTCCAACCTACGTTCCCACCCTGGCGTCCCCTTAGCACTTCCAGGAGTGATTCCTGAGTGCAGAGCCAGGAGTATCCTGATTGTGCATGCACAGTCTCCCCTCCCCCCCCAAAAAAAGTTGATTCATGGACAGAATAGTTTAGAATATACTAATTCCAATTACAGATAGAGAAACTGAGGGCAGAGAGCATCTGAGTACGCAAATTCCTGGAGGTCTTAAGCCTCAGATTACTGAGACTCAGAGGTTCTGATGCTTTGTATCTACTATGGGAATTCGTAATAAAAAGTATTTCAAATATGTTTTCAGATGCTGCTGCTGTTATCTTGAAGACCACACTAAGAAATTACAGTTTTAAACTAAGGTGCTATTAAAAGGGCTATAAATTCTGCTTGTCTAATAATGGCTGTAGTTTTAATTAAAATTATATAGCTCTAATAATAATTTTTAAAAAATGCATTTTATAGTCTCAAAACTAGTTTACATAGTAACAGACTGCTTTTGCTCTATATAAAATAAGATAAAATTAAGTAGGCATGTTATAACCCTTTGTCAGGAAGATGACAATTTGCATTTCTGATTCAAATCTATTAGATTAGTAATTTTAATTTGCTAGGTGGGGAAAGGGAATCCCCACTTTCTTCTTTTCTTTTTTTTTTTTTTTTTTTGGCTTTTGGTTCACACCTAGCATTGTTCAGGGGTTTCTCCTGGCTCTGCACTCAGGAATTATTCCTGGCAGTGCTCAGGGACCCTGTGAGATGCTTGGGATTAAACCTGGTTCAGCTGCATGTAAGCCAAACACCCTATCTGCTGTACTATTGCTCCGCCCCCCAGAATCCTCACTTTCAAACTAATATTATCCAACAACTGATTTTGGTTCTGGTTGCTGCTATTATCTTCTTTTGAGTGGGAGTTGGGGAAGAATTTCCTCTAAACCTTTTCTTTTTTCTTTTTCTGTTTTCTATTGGCTATGTATTTGTTGTGTCAGAGTCATTTAGAGTACATATTACTGTGTTTTAAATTCATGTTTTATAGGCAAAGCAGCAAATTTAGAAGAGACGTTTCAGCTGTATTATTAGAATTAGGATTCCAGATAAAGAAGAAAAAGAGAACATTATTTATCAATAAAGACAATATCTGGAATAGTGCATTAGAAGGATTCAGAAATCGAACTTTCAATCCTGCAAGTGCTATTGAAATAGCATATGTTAATAAAGAAGATAGTTTTGGAGGAGAACATCCTGGATCAAAGCAAGAATTCTTAAGTCTCTTAATGCAGCATCTTGAGAACTCACCACTATTTGAAGGATCCCTGGCAAAGAATCTGTCTCTAAATTCTAAAGGTATTTATTCATTATTTTCCATTCTCCCACACGGCAGAGCCTGGCAAGCTCCCTGGCATATTCCATAAGCCAAAAACAGTAACAACAAGTCTCACAATGGAGACCCTACTGGTACTTGCTGGAGCAAATTGATAAACAACAAACAATGAGAGGACAGCGTTACAGTGTTTATTTTCCATTCTGAGTAAACTAGTAACAACAAGTCTCACAATGGAGATATTACTGCGCCCACTGAGCACCTGGATGAACAACGGGAGGACAGTGCTACAGTGTTGAGTAAACCATATGTAAAGAAATGCAGCTAGTTAGAATGCATTATATTCAACCCTGTGATTAGAATGGTTTAGTAAGTCTTTGCTAACACTGATAAAAATCACAGAAAATGGGAGTGGGAAGAGAACTCTTAAAAATAAATTTTTTACTGAAACATTTTTACTTAAAAATAACCTGTGGAATACTATGCAGCTATCAGGGAAAGTGAAGTCATGATTAGGGTTATATAGATAGACACGGAGAGTATCATGCTGAGTGAAATATAGTCAGAGGGAGAGTTCTGACTATGGAACAGAATAATGGTACTCATTTGTGGGGTATTAAAACAAACAAAAATAACATAGTAAGAAATAGTAAGAAAATAACACAAAAATAACATAGTAAGAAATAGTAAGAAAATAACACCCCAAAACAGTGGAAACCAGGGCCAGGAGATCTGATCCATGATAGGAAACATACCACAAAGGGGTAGGGAAAGTGCAGTTAGGAATGAGAAGGCACCACTATGACAATGATAGTTGTTAATGATCACTCTGGACAGGAACTGAGTGCTGAAAGGAGGTATAGGGATATACATGATGTCCTTTCAGTATTAGTATTGCAAAACACAGTGCCCTCCCTCCTTCCCTTCTCCCCTCTATCCCCTCCCTCCTTTTAATTTGGGGCACCTCCCAAGCTGTGCTCAGGGATCCCAGGGAGCATTACTAGATTAGGAACAGCCTGCTGCAGTTCAAGTAGCACTGCAATAACCTGCAGTGCTACTTGAACCCTTGTGCCAGCAACCACCAGGGCCAGCATGAGGGTGTTTGGGGGCGGGGGCCTAAAGGACTGTGCCGTTGATGCTCATGGAAGCAGGGTTAAGTGCATGCAAGGCATGTGCCCTAATCCCTGTACTCTCTTCCTCAGCCCCATGTAAGTTTAATTGTTATTTGAACCACACCCATTGATTCTCAGGATCATTCCTAGAGGGTTTGGGGGCCATACGGAATGCTAGGTTCGAACTGAGGTCGTCTTAGTGCAAGGCAAGCACCTTACCCACCATATACTATCAAAAAATACTTTACATAATAAGTATTTTGAGGCCTGAAGAGATAACATAGCAGGTAAAGGTTCAATCCCTGGCACCCAAAATGGTTCCTTGAGCCCCTCCAGGAGTAAAGCCCTGATCACTTGCAGGTATGGCCCCCAAACAAACAAAAATACATAATAATAAAAGTATTTATTACACACTTCTGATGCAGCACTTGCACTTTTATTGTAGTGGGAAACTAAAATGCTTGTGGGCCAGGATTGTAATCAACTGAAACAGTGCCAAGGATCCTCCTACTGCCTTTGCACCCACAGCACAGGCAGACATTCTACCATTTGAGTCATGACTTCAAGTTACTAACTGTGTATCTGAATACTTTTGAAAAGCATAAGATTAAACTTTCATGTACTTAGTGAAAAAATAGAAACTAAAATACATGCACAAAAACAATAAAGAATGTGTATACTGCTTGTTATGGTGGTAGAATTATAGATAGGTGTTTATTTTTTTAGTTTGTTTGGTTGTTGGTGGCAGGTGTTGGGGGATGGATGACACCCTACAAGGCTTGGGTTACTTTTGCCTCGACACTCAGGAATCACTACTGGCGGTGCTGAGGGCTTAGGATGATGGGGATCAAACCTGGGCTGGCCACATGTAATTCAAATGCCCTACGTGTCCTGTTAATCAGTCCCAGATTATAGGTGGCTTTTTGTTTTGTATATTTTAAGTTTCCCCGTTAGTACTTAGGTTCCTAAGTACTAATTCCTGATCAGCTGTGCAGACCAATAGGTTGTTTGTATTGAAAATAACAATTTTTAATATCTTAGGTGAAGGCTAGACATGGTTGTAGTTTTAATTAATTAGTAATTTTATGCTTAGGTGATGCTAAATGATTTGTTTCTTATTTAATTTACGTACTTTTTGTATATGATGTATATGTTATAATCAGTGTACTTGATGTATTTTTTGTCTGTATTTGCAGCACTGAAAGAGAATCTTTACTATGAAGCTGGCAAAATGCTTGCAATTTCTTTAGTTCACGGTGGTCCTTCACCTGGTTTTTTTTCTAATACTCTGTTCAACTGCCTTGCTTATGGACCAGAGAAAACTCGACCAATTTTAGATGATGTTTCAGACTTTGATGTGGCACAGATCATAATCAGGGTAAGAAATGTTGCTGTATTAGTAAGTACAACATTTTATTTGTATTTGAATATAATGAATGGATCTGCAGTATAACAGTGATGCTTTTGATACTCTGCAGAGTGTTTCTGTTTACCGGCAGAATTTTTAAAATCAGTTAAGAAATAGATATATTGGGAAGGGGAGGGTTGGGGAAACATTAAAATAACTAGCATTCCAGATATTCAAAATTTATAAAACCTGTTGGACAATATAACCTCTGTATGATGTCTGATTGCCTTAAGTCCTATACAAGTTGCATATTATTGTCAAAATGCCAAAAGATATCTGTCTATTTGTTAATAATTTGGAAATAGGTAATCAAAGCCATCTGGCTTTTCTTTAACACAATTCCCGGAGTGAGTGAGTTACATGGCCCTTTTAGGGATTTCTGTAAAGATATGGGGTAATGGGTCATACCTTGTGAAGCCTGAGCTCAGAGCCAGGAGTAAACCCTGAGCATCACTGGGTATGGCCTAAAAAATGAATGAGCCAAAAAATTGGAGGAACTTCTAATGACTTGTGTTGAACAAACGTAGTCAATATGTCTCTCTTAGCATCATGACTATTAAAAAGCAAAAAAAATTAGCTTGTGATGTTGAAAAATAAACCTGTCCCACCCAGCTTTCGTGTTGAATTACTTTCTAATTCTGTTGTAGTTGAAATGATTGAGGAATCATTTGTTACACAGTGAAGTTCAGTGGTGAGATTGCAGGAGTTTGTGATAAATTTTGGAAAATAATTAGCTAATTGTAGAGGAAGGTTAATTTCCATAGTAAATCTTTAGTTTGGGTTGAAGACTTCTTAACCTGGAAACAATCACTTAATCACTTAACTTCCCGTTAGTCATCAATTTGCTCGAGCGGGCGTCAGTAACGTCTCCATTTGTCCCTGTTGCGTGCTAGTGTAGCCCAATGGGATCTGTTCGCTCCGGGAACATGAAGGGCCTCAAACCGATCGTTCATGATCTTGACGAAGAAGTCTGACCATCTGGTAGGTGGGCGGCCACGTGGTCTTTTGACATCCCGTGGAATCCAGTCGGTAACAGCTCTAGTCCAGCGGGTCCAGAAAGCGTCCTGAAGTGTGGCGACGGCTGGGTAGTGGAAGTAGTGTCGATAGTGGAAGTCTGCCAGTGGGGTATTTATCTGGGTAGGGTGGGTCTCCTGTGCGCAATTCGATCCCTGGGTGGTTGATGGAAGCAGACAGGGCAGGGTAGGGTGGGGCTCCTGATTAGAATCCCTTTGTCACCTGTGGTTGGTGGGAGCAAGCAGAGAAGCTCTGTCCCTGGGTCCGCCGAGCCTGGAGTCCAAGGTCTCAGGGAGTTCCGCTTATCTTGTTCTGTGGGTCTTCAGTCGTGCGTGAGTCTTGGCGGGAGCTGCCACGCGGGTCCGGAAAGCGTCCTGAAGTGTGGCGACGCCTGGGTAGTGGAAGTAGTGTCGACAACCTGGAAACAAGTGCTTTGAAAACATAATTGCGTTTACAGACTGTTAATCTAGTACTAGGTTTCAAGCTTTAAAAGATAGGAGTGAGAGTCTTGCTTAGGTACTATTGCAAAAAGAGATTAAAGCCCTTTGTGATCTGGCATAGTGGGCCTCCTAGGCCTTTTTCTTTCTTTTCTTTTCTTTTCTAATGTAGCACAGCTATTTATTCAGCCATTGATGAAGCTGATTGAAATGGTCATGAACTGCACATTACTTTTTTTATTTTTTAATTTTATAAGTTTACATTCAATATTCAAACACCAATCCCACCACCATTACACCTTCCCACCACCAAATTCGGGATGTTTCCATCCCAAACCCCAATCCTTGTCCCAAAGCACATCCCAAATAATATATTTCGGATTGTCTGTTATGAAGAACTGCTGAACATGCTTATATAAAAGTGTTCATATAGGAAACAGTGTGAAGATTGTTCTATTTTGGCAGGAGCCAATAAGACATTCTATAGGATATCACTAACATGTTGTTAAAGTTTGGATGATGTGAGCTTTGGTATATATATCTGAAAATAAGTATATGTGCATATACATATTTCCCTCTATGATTTTTTGCCTGCTATCTGAACCCCACCCGTTGTGATGTAGTAATTATGGAGAATGGGTAGGGAGTGCTTTATGATGTGTCACGCAGCCACGGTTCAGGAATATGTTTACTCATTATGTGAGGCTCATTCTGCGCATGTGGGATGTGGGGAGCAGCCTTGAGCATGGCAGCAGCTGGATTGTAGAGGTTTTTGGCTGCTGGAGCTGGGTCCCTTGGGACGGGGCAGGCTCTCACCTGCCTTCCTCTGGGGCGCCCTGTGTGAGATAACCTGGCACAGAGTCCAGTGGCATGGTTATGGGAGCCTCATGTTATGCTCCCTTTCAGGAGAAACAGCCATATGATCTGGACGGTGGCCAATGGCAAGATTATCTGGCATCTGGTGCTTTCAGGAGGCTTATGGGTGTGACATCTCGTTTGCTGGAGACTGGGGAAAGCGGGCAAGAGGATCTCTGCTCCTGGTCCTGTTGAACCCAGACTCCAAGGTCACAAAGTTCTGCATTACCTGGGTTCTGTAGGACTTCTCTCATGCGTGAGGCTCTTCCCGAGTGTGTGGGAGCACCCTGAGCTTGGCAGCGGTTGCATTGTGGAGGTTTTTGGCTGCTGGAGCTGGGTCCCTTGGGGTGGGAAGGGCTCTCACCCACCCCCATCTAGGGCACCCCAGTGAAGACAGTCTGGTGCAGGGTCAGGACATTCTGCAGTACTCTTTTGGGAGTTTTAGTTTATAGTCCCTGGGTCTTGGCCATTAATAAGATTACATGGCACTGCGGCTTTTTATGGGTGTGATTGCCAAGCTACTAGAAAACTGGGGACCTGGGGAAGGAGACCCAGTCCTGATCCAGGCAGGCCTGGATCTCTCAGTCATGGGTTCCCCCCTTCCTCTGCACTACAGACCCTAACTGCGTCTTTTGATCTCTTTCAAGATTTGTGGGTCTCTGAAATAAGGCCAATAAATGAGCTTATATAGCTGAGCCAGAGGTGGTTTGTGGGTGTGGCTCCCACATACCTAACTTTTGGCTGTTTAATTTCTTAGCCCAAAGTCGTTAGAAGTCTGAAGGCACCATCAGGCTGCTGATGCACTCGCCCCTCAGCTACAGGTTGACCTGCTGGCGGCATCATTCCCCCAGCTCATAGACTTACGCATATTAGTAAGTACTAGAAGAGCATAAAAAGTCATGGATGAGCTCAGGATGCTTTCCTAAATTGATATGACAGTGAAATGCATACGTACTGTTTGGAGAACAATACAGTTTTTAAGATTTTGGTTGTTGACAATTTTCCAGAAAAATACTAAATCACTTTAACACATTTTTCAAAATATATTTCTTTGATGTGACTATAGTATACTGCTATAGGGTAAACTGTTTTAGCAATAAATTAGGGAAAGAGAAAGGAGAGTAAATACTTGGGGAATATACTAAATTAAAATTAGGGGGCTGGAGCGATAGCACATTGGGCAGGGCATTTGTCTTGCACATGCCTGGTTCGGGTTCAATTCCCAGGATCCCATATGGTCCCCTGAGTACCGCCAGGAATAATTCCTGTGTGCAGAGCCAGGAATATCTCCTGTGCATCGCCATGTGTGACCCAAAAAACAAAAAAATAAATAAAAATAAAAATTAGGCTAAACTTGAATAACGGAGATCTCAAAAGAGTGATTTTTATTAAGCAGATATTTAATAATTTGTTTTAGCAGGTAGAGATTAACAAATTATGGTGCATAAATCAAATCTACTTTGCTGCCTCTTTCATTTTTTAATTTTCAAAAATTTTGTTCATCTATTTTGGGTTTGGGGCCACACCTCATGGTGCTCAGTTTGCAGGATAGTATATGGGTTGCTGGGATTTGAACCTGGATAGTCTGCTTACAAGTCAATGGCCCTACCCACTGTACTATCACTCCAGTTCCTGCTGCCTCTATCTGTCTGTCTGTCTGTCTATCTAATCACTCAATCACTGTGAGATACCTCGTTATAAAGCTGTTCATGATTGGGTTTCAGTCATACAATGTTCCAACACCCGTCCGTCCACCAGTGTACATTTCCTACCAACAGTTTCTCCTCCCATCATCACCCAACTCCCTCTCCTCTACCTCTTTATAGCAAGTACCTTTCTTCTCTCTCTCTCTCTCTCTCTCTCTCTCTCTCTCTCTTCTCTTTCCCTCCCTCCCTCCCTCCCTCCCTCCCTTTCTTTCCCTCTTTTCTGCCTCTCTCTCTCCCTCTCCCTCCCTCCCCCTCTTTTTGCTTCTCTCTCTCCCTCCCCCCCCCCTCTCTCTCTCTCTCTTTCTCTCGTGCATTATAGTTTGCAGTGCAGGTGCTAAGTGGTCATTGTGTTTCTTCAGGGCATTCAGTATTTTTATCAGGAAGATATAGTTGAAGTAAGCGCTTTTTTTTTTTTTGTTAACTGGGAGACAGTTTTGGAGTATGGATGTGACTGACAGGACTTCTGAAGATACAGGGAGATGGGGGGAGGTAACCCATCCCGATCTTGAGAAAGCCTAAGAAAGCCAGTCACACAACCCACACACCAGAATTTTCAGCTGGTTAATATCTCAGTGAGTCCTGTCCTATAAAGGTGGTTTCCAGCCAGGGGCATGGCAGTGATTTTATATTGTAAGATCTAAGATCAGGTGGCTGCTGGGGATTGTTTGGGTGGGCACCATACAAATCTGCCCCCCCCCCCCCTTAAATCTACCCCAGTCTGTTTAGCCTTGTTCAGGTTGAAGATTAACTGCAGCTTTTTATTTCTTTGGAGATTTATTTATGGTTCTCTGAAGCAAGACCAGTGGAAGAGCTGACATGGTGGCGCTAGAGTTGGTTGATGGGGATGACTGCTGGTGCTTCTAGGAGTAAGGGAAGTTGGGGAAGGTAGCCCATTCCAACTCCAAGAAAGCTTGGAGATTTCAGTCACAAAACCCACTCATGAATTTTCAGCAGCTTAATATCTCTGTGAGGTTCATCCCAAAACAGTGAAGTTCAGCTGGGGGCATGGCAGCGATTTGAATTGTAGGAGCAAGCATCTGCTATCGGCTCTGCTTGAGTGGGCACCAGGCAAACCCTCTCCCCTCTGATCTACCCCTGTCTTTCAGCCTTGTGCGGGTCTGAGATTAGCTGACGCTTTGAATCTCTTTGAGGTTTATTTATGGGTCCTGCAGCAAGGCTGATAAATGAGCTTGTATGGCTGAGCCAGAGGTAGTTTGTGGGCATGACTTCCACATACCTAACTATTGGTGGTTTAATTTCTCAGAAAACTTGGTTCTGAGTTTTGGGGTCCAGCCACAAGGGTATAGCAGTGATTTGGGGGTATCAGAAAGACCAAGCAAGGTTACCATCAGTCTGCTGATGCCCTTGCTCCTACCCTCCCCCCATGTCCAGGTTGACCCACCAGTGACGACCGCAGCTGCGGCCCTGGCAGGGTCCAGGACCAAAGACATAGCTGCTACTGTTTGCGACTTAGACACTCTGGGTGGGCCGTAGCCACCAGTTAGGCAGAACATGCCTGGGGGCACACGCGCCCCTCCTTGGTCTCCAGATAGTTGGCACTCAGGGACATTTCCTTCCATAACATACTGTGGGCAGCACTGGTGACACAGACTGTATCAAAGAAGAAATGGTGACAGGGACGCTCTGCTTGCGGGGTGTTGCCTGAGCTAGCCTCCCCTTGTGGCAACCCCCCCCCCCCATGATGGGAACCCCGATGCCCCCTCAATTCTGGGACCGGCTCTCCACTGTAGTGCCAAGCTGACCCCGAAGTGCCTTGCTCATTCACGCTAAACCTCTTCCTCCACGACAGCTGCTGCCCATCGTGTGGAGAGCTGTGGTGGCTCTGTCAGCTTTGGAGCCCGTGCTGGTGCTATTGCCATCTTCACGGTCGCACCCCGGGTAATGCTCTGCCAGCTCTCACGCCTGCTTCCACTCGGCACCTCTTTGTAAAGTTTTATTGGATCACAGCCATGTTCATTACATACATATCTTTGACTGCTCGCACACTGCAATGGAATGACTTAAGTATTTTTTCATAGGCACTGTAAACTTAACAGAGCATAAAGTGCTATCTAGTCATTACAGAAACAGTTTCTATTTTCAAGGTACAGTTTGTGGTACATCATGTGAGGAATTGTTGGGATTTTGTTTTGTTTTGTTTTGTTTTTCCAGTTAGGATATTATGTCTTCATCTATAGGATTGAGGTTTACAGTAGAGTGCAATGAAGTGACATGTTTTTACTGAAAACTCCATTGGGCAGTTTGAGCCGCATCTAACTGCAAGAAAGTATGATTGATATGCCCAGTAAAACTGACTGTGGGTTTAGGAGACTGAAACAATGTGTTCTGAAACTTTATTCTTTGACATTTATAAAGGTAGTATTTTGAACAGAAAGAATTGAGCTTAGATTTCAGCAGGTATTTGAAATGAGAGAAACGTAACTCTCAGTACATATTTTACAAGGAAAAAAGGAAGGAAATTTTCCATTCATTGTCTCCTGGTTTTATCTTTCTCTGTCTTGAACTTCTTTCAAGACTTTAGCTGTTTGCATATCCTTGGTCCAGTATTCTTTTTTATACGGTTCCCTATAAAACTCGTCAATCTTTTATTCCTCAGCAGATTCTTGCATGAAATCTTTAGTAATTTCTTTCCTTTCCAGTGCAATGTAAATCTTAATTATTTCATGTTATAGTCTGTATTTAAAGGGAATTTATTTTGGAAACATAATTCTTAGTATAGTTTTACCTCATCCTAGTAAATTGAGTAGTATATAATGATGTATTCTTTAAAATTTAAATATTGTTTACAAATAAATGGGCAAACTGGGTATATTTTCTTTATTTCAGATAAATACTGCAACAAATCTTGCTGACTTAAACTCAATAATGAATGATTGCTGTAACTACCTTGAGCTTATTGGCTGTTTAAGACTTATAACATCATTGAGTGATAAATACATGTTGGCAAAAGACATACTTGTTTACCATGTAATTAAGAGAGTCCAAGAACCTTTTGAAAGGTAAGTAATTTATATAGAAGAGTCTCTCAGATTATGCATTTAAAGTTAATTATCTTACAATACGAGACATACTTAATTAAATTGGCATGCTATTTATATGCATATTTAATTTTGGTTTTGGGGCCACACTTGTCTATGTTCAGATATCCTATGATCTCTGAGCCAGTTGGGGTTGAACCCTGGGTGGGTTGCATGCAAGTCAAGCATCTTACCTGCTGTCCTCTTACTCTTGCCCCTTGAATAGAATTTTAAGATATGCTTAAAACTAACCTCTTCAGAGTGATCACTACTCCTGCAACTTCATACAGAATTATGTAATTGTGTAATGCTCAAACAAAAGTAATCCTCAATTTATAATTTTTCTAAATAAAAAAGTAAAAGATTTTTTTAAATGAACCTAATATTCCATCTCCATTCATTCAGCCCTCCTCCCCCCATCTTGCTGGACAATAGATACTGTACTAGTAGGCATTTGAAGGGGAAGTGGTACATAATAGGAATGTAAGAATTTCCCAGAATACGATTAGAAGCAAAAAATGTCTGAAATTAGGGCCGGAGTGCTAGCTCAACAAGCTGAGCACAAGCTTTGCATGTGGGAGGCTCAAGTTCAATCCATAGCATTTATGGTACCCTGAGCACTGCCAAGAATGACCTCTGAGCACCAGTAGGTGTGGCCTAATCCCCACACATATCCCCTCCTACCCCACCCCACTGCTGTATGGAATTTAGATAGGAGAAATCAGGTTTTTGCTAGGAAGTATGGTTTCGGCCACAATCAGCAGTGTTCAGGGTTCATATCAGGGTGGAGGGTGTCAAAGTTGGACCTCCCACATGTTCTGTGTGTGCTCTGTTAGACTTATGCCCCTAACATATATACTAAGATGAGGGCAAGCAATATTTAAAAAGTTTTAAGGGAAATTTCTAAAATAGAAATTTTCTAAAATAGAAATTCAAATAGAGTATGTAACTTCCAAGCCAGTATGAGGGTGAGAGAGATTTATGTATCCAGGGGTGGTGGAATTTAGTCCCTGACACTGCCCTCTAAGATCACTGAGGTACCATTTCCCATCACTGAAGAACCACTGAGAAGCCACAAGCCAAGTGTGTGATCCTCTTCTCCCCACATGACCTCTTTCCTCCTCCACCTTAGCACCTCAAGCACCCGAAAAAAATATGAAAGCCGATAAAAACTCCTAAAACCTGGCCAGAGAGATAGTGTAGGAACTAAGGCGATAGCCTTGTGGATTGACCTCTTAGTGTGAATTTCCTGCACTACCTATAATTCCCCAGTCATTTATAGGGGTCTCTCCGGGGCACAAACTTAGCAATGACCCCTGAGTACCACCAGGTGTGGCTCCAAACTCCAAACATTTACAGTGGACAGTAAAAAATTAAAACAAAGCACAATGTAAGGCAGAAAAATAATCCCTAGACTTAAAATTCTAAAACAAGTAAAATAAATTTATAAAGTAGAACTTTAGTTATAATTTGAATTACTTAAAGCAAAAAATAGATTTTAATAACTTTAAAAATAAATACTACAGGGGCTGGAGTGTTAGCACAGTGGGTAGGGCATTTGCCTTGCACAAGGCCAACCCAGATTCAGTTCCCAGCATCCCATATGGTCCCCTGAGCACTGCCAGGAGTAATTCCTTAGTGCAGAGGCAGGAGTAACCCCTGTGCATCCTCAGATGTGACCCAAAAAACAAAAACAAAAAAAAAAAACAAAACAAAAAACCACTACAAACTTAAATAGCCTTGTCAGGTTTTTTATTTGTTGGCTTTTTGGATCACACCCACTAATGCTCAGGGGTTACTCCTGGAAAATAACTTACCTGCTGTACTATCACTTTGGTCCCGACTCTATCAGTTTTAAAAGAACAAGTTTGCGAGGATTGGACAGTCAATTGTATATGAACCTAATGTGCTCTCAAGAGATGTAAAGCTGCCAGAATACGGAAAAATTGTTCAATGTGTTAATTGTGAATATTTCAAAGATGGATCGCTTGAGAACTAATGACTTGAACAGACAAGTATTTGGTTCTAACGTAGCCCAGAATATAAGGGTCAGTGTGATGGTACAGTAGGGCATTTGTCTTGGCCAACCCAGGTTCAATTTCCAGCTCCCTTATGATCCCCTGAGAACCTCTAGGAGTGAAGCCTGAGTGCAGAGCCAGAAGTAAGCCCTAAGCATCGTTGGGTGTGGCTCAACCCCTCCGCCCCGCCCCCCACACACACATATGCCACCAATTAAAAAAGTAGTCCAGAATAAAAATCAGTTCTGAAAAGCGCTTTGAAAGAAAGTCAACTACAGAATTAAAAATAAGACAGTTGGCCTTGCATGCAGCCAACCTAGGTTCGATCACCAATATCTTATGTAACCCCCAAATCTCTGTTGGTTGTAGCCTTAAATCAAAAACTAAATATTTAAAAATCTTACTGCAATATATCCCACCAATAAAGGAGAACAAAAGCAGGCATTCTTTCAATTATAGGAGCAAAACTATACTCTCAAGTTGATCAGGGGTATCTTCTAAAGATTCAGCAAGTATACATATAGTTAAATGTCGTAGTTCTTTATTTTAAGACCATGATAAGCTTAGGATTAAATGGAAACATCCCTTCATTTCTATAGTATGCTGGAGGTTTTAGTAGAGCAGCAAGACTAAGTGAATTTTTAAAAGATTTTAAAAGATTGGAAGAAGTATCATTGCAGTCTAAGCAATTGTCTACATAAATCTGAAATTTACTTATGACGTGAATAGCACAAGTTTTCTTGTAGAGGGCTTTGCATTCTCATTTGAGAAGGGAATGATGTTAATAAACATTTGGGTATTTGACAATGTTTTAATTAGGGGGTTCATCATGTAATGTGGAATTTAACAGAAGGAATGAATACTATGAGAGTTACAGGGTGTTTGTATTAACATCTTGAGAGTTGTTTACTTTCGAAAGAAGGCCAGAGAGAATAGTACAGAAATGTAGGCACTTGCCTCAAACACAGCCAGTCCACCTCAGTCCCCAGTATTATGACCTGACATTCGAGGGTACGACCCAAAACTCATATATAAATGAGCTGGAAATTGGGGGACAGTTGATGATACTGATTGAACTTGGGTATCTTGTGGGCACTGTATAAGATTAGCATAGGGAACACCAGATACTTGTCTTTATTTTACATGTCCGCATGCTCTGACTCTTGGGATGTCTTCTGCTGCCGCACTATCAGCAAGCTCTATTTATAGCAACCCAAGCACCAAACGTCCCTCTCTTCTTCCTCCTCCTGCTTCCTTCTCATGCTGTTCTTTCTCTCTTCTGTGCAGTGATGATGGTTTATTTAGGGTTCCTGCCCCTTAGCTGTTTCTGTTGATTGGTTGTACATCCATCTGTCATATGTTCCCTGTGACCAATTGGAACACATGTAAATGTTAGATTAATTCCCAACTTAATTAATTCTGTAACTGATACCTCCTTTCCAGTAACCTGAGATTCCTGCCCCTTAGTTTCTTCTGCTGTCTGAATGGTTTGTGGAACTGACTGAACAATTATAATTGTTCATCAGAGGTTTTGGTTATCCAGCCTCCCCCTCATTTCTTCTTTACTAGGTCCCTTTTTTCCTTATTTCCTCTGTACCATTTCTAGGAGTATATGCCCTAAATGCTTTTAGGACTGTGGAGCAAGCATCCTCCTCTTGAACCTACATCCTGTTGAAAAGGGTTGCTGTGTTCTTTTAGGGCATTCAGAGCATCCCTCCTTGTTCTCTGACAGGGATTCCAGGATGGTTGTTCAAGTGGGCCATGGTATAACTAGTGGTAAGTGGTTGAAGGAACCATGATTTTGGAGTTTTTGGATTCTGGGGAGAAAACTTTGATTATTTAGTTGGATTTTTAAAATACATAAAAATTGGTACATGGTAATAAAAATGTATTTTAAGAAGCAATACAAAATGATTTGATACCATCAGCCATATTGTTAGTTTTAGCATGGCCTTTAATATTCAACCATCTGGACCAGTTGGTCAGATATTGCCAGGAGTTGGCACCTAGACCCACTTATCATTGTTTGGAAATCTCTCCCCAAAAGAAAAATAGTTTTTAGGTATAGCAGTGATACTTACATTACACAAAAGTAACTCAAAATCACATTGCTAGAAAATCTTACATTACAGTAGTTAGCACTGTTAGCACTGTCCTCCCGTTGTTCATCAATTTGCTTAAGTGGGCACCAGTGACGTCTCACAACAACTTGTGAGACTTGTTACTGTTTTTGGCATATTGAATACATCACGGGGAGCTTGCCATGCCTTGCCGTGCAGACGAGATACTCTCGGTAGCTTGCCAGGCTGAGAGGGTCGGAGGAATCAAACCCGGGTCGGCCATCTCAGCCGCATGCAAGGCAAACGCCTTACCCGCTGTGCTATCGCTCCAGCCCCATTATAGTAGTATATATAATTTATAAAAAGTTATATAAATATAATAAACAGATCAGTGACTAGCTTAGGAATACAATGGTAAACATACAAAATACATTTTAGTAACATTTCCAATCACTTAATCACTTAACTTCTTGTTAGTCGTCGATTTGCTCGAGCGGGCGCCAGTAACGTCTCCATTTGTCCCTGTTGCGTGCTAGTGTAGCCCAATGGCATCTGTTCGCTCTGGGTTCATGAAGAGCCTCAAACCGATCGTTCCTGATCTTCACGAAGAAGTCTGACCATCTGGTAGGTGGGCGACCACGTGGTCTTTTGACATCCCGTGGAATCCAGTCAGGAACAGCTCTAGTCCAGCGGTCGTCTTTAAATCTCATTACATTACCAGCCCATCTGATTTTTGACACCTTGGCAAATGAGACAGCGTCCCTGATTCTTGATCGTCGACGGATGTCAGAACTCCGGATTTTTTCTCTCATAGCGTGAAACGTGATTTTCCAAGCATAGCTCTTTCTATTCTTCTTTGGGAGACCTGAATAGCATTCTCATCCTGTTTGCGTAGGGCCCAGGTCTCTGAGGCATATGTTAATGCAGGAAGAACAGTGGAATCAAAGAGATGTGCCCAGAGCAGGAGGTTCTTCGTCCTCTTAGCTATTTCTTCAACGTTCTTGAAAGCATTCCAAGCCTCGCTCTTCCTCCTGCGCAGCTCGGGTGCCAGGTCATTTGTCATGTTGACTTCTCGACCTAGGTACACATAGCTGTTGCATTCGGAGATGGTCGTTCCGTTGAGAGTGAATGGGGCATCAGGAACGAGGCTGTTTCTCATAAACATTGTCTTCATAAGATTCAGCTGTAGTCCTACCTTTCCACACTCACGGTCAAAGTCGGCCAGCATTTGTGCCGTTTGGCTGATGTTTGGTGTTATTAAAACAATGTCATCAGCAAAGCGGAGGTGGTGTAATTGCCGACCATCTATCTTCACTCCCATTCCTTCCCATTCCAGTCGTCGCATGATGTTCTCGAGGGTGGCACTGAAGAGTTTTGGTGAAATGGTATCACCCTGCCGAACCCCTCTCCTGACATCAATGATCACTTCTTTGTAGAATCGTGAGATCCTGGTAGTGAATCCGCAATACAGCTCACGGAGGATCCTGATGTATTGGGCTTGAATGCCCTGATTGGCTAGGGCTTCGATGTCCGCTTCCGTCTCAACAGAATCAAAGGCCTTCTTTAAATCAATGAACGTTAAACAGAGCGGCATCTTGAACTCCCGAGAAACCTCAGTGAGCTTGGTTATCGTGTGAATATGGTCGATGGTGCTGAATCCTTTGCGGAACCCGGCTTGCTCGCTTGCATGGTTGTCCTTCATCTAGTGTTCTGCCAACCGTATTTAGGATGACTCGAATGAACAACTTGTAGATGACAGACAATAGGCAGATCGGGCGATAGTTGCCAATGTCATGGATGTCTCCCTTCTTGAACAGTAGTACAGTCCTGCTGGTTTTCCATTGGGACGGAACCTTGCATTCAGACAGGTAGCGAGTGAAGAGCCGAGCCAGTGTATTGATGAGTACTGACAGCAGGTTCTTCAGGTGTTCAGGTCTGACCTTGTCTGGGCCAGATGCTGTTTGTTTCTTTACCGACGAAATGGCGTGTCGGATTTCGGAAGGGAGAACGTTGGGAACGACATATCCATCCTGTGGAATTTGGTATGCCAGCAAGTGGACATGGCTATCAAAGAGATTTGAGTAGAAGTCATGGATAATCTTCTCCATTGCCGTTCTGGAGGATGTGATGGATCCATCAGGACGTCAACATTTCCAAGTGACTAATAATTAACTGAGGCCTGGAATTTGCATACAGGGTATCCAGGATGGATTACTAGTACTGCCAGATAATCCCAGCACTGTAGGGATTATCACACTGAATCCAGTGTGGCTCAAAAGGAAACAAAAAGTAAATAACAATTTCAGCTTTCCTTTTTTGTGGAGGGGAAGAGGCGGTTTGTCCACACCCAGCTGTGCTCAGGTCTTACTCCTGGCTCTGTACTCAGGGATCACTCCTGGCTGTGCTTGAAGGAATATATGGGAAGCTATGTACAAGGCAGTCGCCCTACCTGCTGTACTGTAGCCTCGGCTCCTCAAATAGTTTCTAGGAAAGAAGGGAAAGCAAAAAGTGGATACAATTGAATACTTATCTTTCCGGGAGAGAGGGGTAATATCTTACCAGGTTATACTCAGGATTTATTCTTAGCTCTTTGCTCTGGGATCACTCCTGGCAGGGCTTAGGAGTCCATATGTATGTGGTGGCAGGGATTGAACCAGGTGGGCCACGTGCATGGCAGGCCCCCTTACCCACTATTCTCTCTCCAGCCCTCCCCTTACCCACTATTCTCTCTCCAGCCCTATAGTAATAATTTAAAGACAAACTTAAATTTCTCTAAAATTTACTTCAAATGTAAACAAGAAAGGTACAAGGGTTGTCTAATGGAGGGCCTCGGAACAGGTGTTAGGGAATTTGAACTTTGTTTCTTGGACAAAGTGTTTATCAGCTCTTGCAGCTACTGCAAAAAGATGATCACAAACTGTGCCTTAAAATAGGAGGAATTTATTCTATTTTTAGGATGTTAAAAGCCCAAATCAAGAAGGTGTCATGCAGGGCTCATCTTTTTTAGATCATGGTTGCATATCTTCAGTTTCTAGCTATCATATGGCCTTTCTTGTGAAAAAAAAAAAATTAGTCATGAAGTTTTAGGCTGTCACAGATAATCAGTAGCATGATCCACATGATCCATCTTTTGTTTATTTGTATATGTTTATATCATTTTTCTTTTTTTTTTTTTTTTTTTGTGAGGGGTGAGGGCAAGGGGTTACAGTAGGCTGTGCTCAGTACTACTGGCTCTGTGTTCAGGCATCACTCCTGGTTGTGCTCCGGGTACCATACATGGTGCAGGGATCAAACTGGAATGGAGCACCTTTTCTGCTGTACTATCCCTGGCTCATTTTTTTTTTACCTGTCAAGTGAGGTTATGTTCACAGGTTTCAGGGTACATGGTGTGGAAATATTTGGGGGGTGAACTTCTATGCAGCCTGCTTTAAAATAAATCACAGTTATTGGTGTTTGGTTTTGGTACATCATGTAGCAATGGCTCAGAAAAGAACCTGGGCTATTACAGATGTAGAAATATAACAGTTTCTCTGAAGGATGTTCTGATAGATTTGTTTTTGCGGTATATGGAGTATTAAGTAAATAAGAATTTTAGAGAAGTTTATAGGATTTTGTAATTAGGACTGGGAGAGGGAAGAGTTATGGGTGGTTCGGGTTCAGCTATACTAATTTGATGTATATTGGAAGCAGGACACTGAGGCCATCTGAGTAAATTATGCTGAATTTTGTCAGTTTTTTTCTGAGATGAGAATAAGTATGGATAAATAAGGATTAGGATTTTAAGAAATGGAGAAGTAACTTTCAAGCAGATTGTCTTGAAATGTGATGGATTGAATGCACTTAAAAAAAAATATATGGTCAAAGTGGATACCTTAAACGGCTAGAAAGACAATTCAGTGTATCCTGATACTTAAGTAGATGGGTAGGAAATTTAGATTATAGGTAAGACTAAATGGGTCTGACAGGCAACAATTTTCACTCCTCTGCTTATTAATGAAAATTTGCATTTGAGACATTTTTGATTATACATTCATATTTTGTTCATTACTCTTGGATTCTGTGAGAAAAATTTTATCAAAGAAATTAATTTTCTAATTATGTTCTTTGTATGAGTCTTAGATTTATTATCTTCCTTTGCATTCTGAAGGAAACTTAATATTCATACTAACTTGCTTTCAGTCATCAAATTCCTCAGAAGTTTGAAGGCTACCTTTTCCCTTAGTAGCATACTAGCTTAATTTTAAAAACTTCATTAAGGTAAATATATAGACATAGTTATATTAATGAATATACCTGTTATGGATTTGGAAGTATATTATAGTTATATTTTATATATATTATGTATATATATAATTAGTTGAAAATGTTAATTTATTATTGTAATACCAAATAAAGGTATAAATGCTGACTCATTTTTCTTTCAAGTTTTAAGCAGGGTCTGAAAACTCTTGGAGTTTTGGAGAAAATTCAGACCTACCCAGAAGCCTTTCGTAGCATCTTCTGTCATAAACCTAAGAATCTTTCTGCCAAAACCATTAGTGAACTTTTTACAGTACACGCATTATCTGATGTACAAGCTTTGGGATTTTGGAACAAGTACTTAGAAGCTGTTGAAGGTATGTGGATTTTATATACTTACTGAACTATTATTTGCATGATCATTTTGTTCACTTTAAATTGAAGTGTAAGGTGTTTTCTCGTGATAGTAGTTTATCTCTTTAAGAACAACTTTTTGATAAGTTTAATCTGCTAACTATAGAAAACTTTCTTACAAAGAAGCCTAAATTGGTTCACTTGGCAATGATAGGAAGGAGGTGTTATGTATTGTATTTTACAGTCACCTTTCCTTCAGAAAATGTCTTTCTAGAAAAGTTCAAGTGTAAGTATGATTGCAATAGCATAGAATAGTGTTCAGCAATAAAATATTTTTTCTACGTTTTTTGTTTTGGATATGTGTTTAACACTTAATAGACTTTAGCACAGTGTAAATATAAACTTTACATCCATTAAAAATGAAAAAGTTACCAAGTTTGACTTGAAAATTTAAAAATCATGGCTTTTATTGCCGCTTTTGATTTATTGCAGTAGTCTGTCATCTGTCACCAGACCCATAGCATTTCTGAATTGTGCCTGCATTTCATCTTTTTCATTCTTTTTGTTTGTTTTGGTGAAGCAAGAAATTTTTTATTGAAACTTATTTAGAAAGATAGGGGGGAGAGATAAGGGGAAATACATGTTTGAGAGAGAACACAGGGTTCTCCTGAGCAAAGAAACATTAGAGATAAGCAAGAGAGATACTTATGGGAGATTATGGGGTTGAAGAACAAGCCATCATTTTTATTGGTAGGTTGAATGAATCATAGTTATCCATAAGTCATAGAGCTGTGATCATTATTTCACAATTTATCCCTGAGATTACTGATATAAAATTGTGGGATGAAAAAGATTTGTTTTATTTGATAATTTGTTTGTATCTATATAGTTAGATATTTTATTATACCATTTCATTATTTTTAGCATAATCTCCAAATAATGGAGTTTCAAAACTCATCAATTTTTTTTTTTCTTTGTGGGTCACACCTGGCGATGCACAGGGGCTACTCCTGGCTCTGCACTCAGGAATTGCCCATGGCAGTGCTCGGGGGACCATATGGGATGCTGGGAATCGAACCCAGGTCAACCACATGCAAGGCAAACACCCTACCTGCTGTACTGTTGCTCCAGCCCCTCTCATCAAAAAGTTTTAGCCATATGATAATTTTCTGTTAGAGAAAGTATATAGTATACAACTGATCCTATATAATTTTATTATACGCCCTACTTTGAGATTCAGAGGAAACAGTGAATGCACGTTTTTCCTATTAATACACTTGATTCAGTGATTTAGTTTATCCCAAGATATTTTGGGAATATCTGGGAATGTGAAATTTCTGTCTTGTAACATTCCCAGTCTATCTGGGGAAGTATTTATGAATGTAGCAATATAATACGTGGATTTTAACTTTTTTCTTTTTGACCAACTTCTCAGATGGGAAATCTACAACAACAGTGGAAGACATTCTCATTTTTGCAACCGGTTGCAATTCCATTCCACCTGCTGGCTTTAAACCCACTCCTTCTATTGAGTGCCTACATATGGATTTTCCTGTGGGAAAAAAGTGTGATAATTGTTTAGTTATTCCAATTACTAATACATATAAAGAATTTCAAGAAAACATGGACTTTGCCATAAGAAACACTGTAAGACTGGAAAAAAAAGAAAATTCTCACTACATTGACCCTTAACTATATGAACAACGAAAAGCTTCCTTAACAGCTGCTATTGATACTTTTTGTTTCAGAACTCTATCATCAATTTTGAACAAAATTATCAGTTTCTGGGCTTAATAAAATTTTATATGAACATACAGGAATGTTTGACCACTTAAACTAAGAATTTTTTGTCAAGGTGTGCTGATCAAAGTTGCTGAAACTTTTCTACTCTCGATATAAATGCTTCATTAAATCTTTATGACTGTATAGACTTAATTCAAGTATTGTAGAATGTCGTGTGTGTGTGTGTGTGTGTGTGTGTGTGTGTGTGTGTGTAAGGAAGTGTTCTTGTATTGAATTTTGTTGTAAATTAGGGTCAAATGTAGGATTCACAATTTCCTAATTTTATGCACTCTTCAAATTATTTTATTTCAAGCATTAAATAGAAAAACTAGTTGAAAAATCCTATATATAAATCAAAGGGGAACATATTGGGGGTGTGTATTTATATCCTTTTCTAGGATAGCATTAAATTGATTTTGAAAATTTTAGATTTATATTAAATAGGACCACATGGCAATAAGATTATGTCTAATGGGAGTATTATATAAGAAGCAGTGTTGCACAAATATTCTATAATCCATTGATATTCCAATAGGCTTTAAACACTTCAGAGATATAGTGTTGTTGAAAATACATTTTTAAACCCAAAACATTAATGTTAGGATTTGATAGTTCTGTTTTGGTATTCCCTGTCTATTATGCAACCACAGAATGTCTGATCGATACTAATTTAGGTGTCGATTTCTGGATTTACCATGTGTGGTGTGTTTGACCACGTGACATGTATTATCAAGATGATTATATGGTAATTATTGACATTAATATATAGTTAAAGCTATTTTTCGAAAGATATCACCTATGAGTAATACAGAAATGTTTTTAAAGCACAGATATAATGGAAATCCCAGTGTAATGTATCTTTCTATAAACTCTTATTTTTAACTCTTGGTGCTACTAAGAGTAAATACCTAAAGTAACAAAAATGTGCGTGATAACAGTTTGAAAATATATAGTCCTGTAGTTTGAACCTAACATATGTGTGTGTGTGTGTGTGTGTGTATGTACTCTCAAAAAAAGAAATTTGAAAACTATCCCTAATCAAGTACAATTGTGATTGCTGCTAAAGTTAAATTATATGCTAAGTCATGAAAGGCAAGTTACTTGGTTTTAATTGCATATTTCTTGGTACAAAGAGCAAATTCTAGCTTTCATCATCATATTATCTTCTAAAAAATTTTGTTACTGGTATTTTTTTAAAATTGATTTTTATACTGTTAACCTTATAATACCAAAGGAAAACTAAAACAACCCTATACAATTTTATTTATTCAGTTTTCATTTTAACTTGAAGTTTTAAGAATATTAGAAAGACATTTATTTAATTCTGTTAAAAGAAAGTAAAGGAATTAATGTCAGTGTTTGATACTTATTATAAAATTCCTAATTGCCATATAGTAAATAAAGCTTTTGTTTTATTTGTTAATAAACTGACTGTTTTAATTGTTTGTTTTGGGGCCACACCTGGCTGTGCTCAGGGCTTGTTTTTGGCAAGCCTAGGACCATACGGGTTTGCCAGGAATTCAACCCAGGCCAGCCATATGCCTTACCCACTATACTTGCTATGCAGCCCCGCTATTTTAATTCTTAATCTGCCTAGTTTTCATTAGAAATTTTAGCCTTTAAATCAGTACAAACAAAAAATGCTAAATAAGGCGTTTTCTTTTTATTTATCCTAAAGTGGTAATTAACCCACATGCGTGCATGCACACTCACACACTTTGGGAGGCTAATGTGCTTGGATATAATTAAAAGCCATTTTAAATACTCCTATCACTTACATGTTAGGCAGGTCTGTAGGAATAAGATGGTAGCACTGTAGAACTGTCCTCCCATTGTTCGTCGATTTGCTCAAGCGGGCACCAGTAACTTCTCCATTTTGGGACTTGCTGATACTGTTTTTGGCATATCAAATACGCCATGGAGAGCTCGCCAGACGTTGCCATGTGGGCGGGATACTCTCAGTAGCTTGCCAGGCTCTCCGAGAGGGATGGAGGAATTTAACCCTGGTCACCTGAGTGCAAGGCAAATGCCCTACCCGTTGTGCTATCACTCCAGCCCAGGAATAAGATGGTATAGACAATAATTCAGCATACTCGTGTTTAAAGTAAAGCATAAATTACCATACTGCAAAATGTTGTATGGTTTTAAGGATATTTCATTAGTGTGATTTTTAGCTACAATTCATGCATATTAGATGAATGTGTAGGCTATTTGTTTTTCTGCATTGTTATTACTATGTCTAATGGTTGGTGTTATGGTTTTCTTTTTGTTATAACAAGTACACAGTTCTTACTGACATTAAATTTCAAAGAAAATAATGCTGTATACCTTTATAAATGTATGTATTTCTCAAATACTTTGTATATATGCCATGTAGCTTGTTTGCTATTGCTTTCAATATCAAGGAAAACTATAAATTCACATATAATGCATCTCTTGTTAGTGGTTCTGTCATTAGTTTTATGTTCATTGTTTTTTTTAAGTGAAACAAAATAGTTTTATTAAAGAAATTTACTTAGAGAAGTGTGATGAGGAGAAAGAGAGAGGTGTGTTCAAGAGAGAACACAGGAGAATTCAATACTTCTAAACCACTTAAATTCTTGTGGGAATTTCATCCTAAAGGCCTTTCACACAATGTTCTTCTATTTAGTTATTTTACTGTTTTAGCATTTGAGATAAAGATTATTTCATCAATAATTAGCTTTATATAATTTGCTTATGGATAAGTCATTATTTGTTTTGTCAAGTAAAAAGATTTCATTAGATAATTCTTTTTGGCTTCTTTAAGCCAAACTTTTTAAAGCGTTTTTCCTAATATGTAAGCCATTGAATCTTTCATATTCAGTGTTTAGTAAAGGAGAGTATGGCAGGTGAATTTTCTGACTTTGCCTTCAAGCATTAGTCTTTACTGGGAGGTGGCTGAGAGGTCTGGATTACATTCATTGCAAGGGAGGCCTGGAGTAGAAACTAGCACTGCAGGTTCCCTGTGAAACTCACTGAGATTAGCTTCCAGGTCGCTCTGGATGCCAAGATCACAGTCACGGTCCTCCCATTGTTCATCGATTTGCTCGAGCGGGCCCAGTAACGTCTCCATCATGAGACTTGTTGTTACTGTGTTTGGCATATCGAGTACGTCATGGGTAGCTTGCCAGGCTCTGCTGTGCAGGTGAGATACTCTCGGTAGCTTGCCGGGCTCTCTGAGAGGGGCGGAGGAATCGAACTCGAGTAGGCCATGTTGGCCTGGATGTCACCTTCCAAAATAATCAAAATTAGAGGAAAAAAAGAAATAGGATAAGATTCTATTTATGAACATACTTTAAATATAGTACCCTATTAATCTCTTATAATAACCTATTAAACTAATTTAGGCTTCAACTAATATATAGTTTAATGTTGCGATTAATGCAATGCAAAGCATTTAATGATGAATTACTTAGAATACTTTGAAGCAGCCCTTTTCTAAGTTTTGATTATTCCTATTAACACATCGAAATGCCTGTTACTTCTAGTTGTATCAGTCTATTTCCCCCTCCCTCCTTTTTTTTAAATAAAAAAACACCGGATATGAACTAAAACATGATACAATAAAGTTTTTTTACATAAATGTTTATGCCACCAAATATAAAATGATTATATGAAATTAACTTGTTACGTATTAACATGGTTAAGGGTCTAACTAAACTGGGGATTGAAATGGTAGTTCAGCATTATCCTTGCATGCAGCTGACTGGCTTTGATCCCCAACCCATAAGGTGCTCCATTCCTTACCTGGAGTAACCCTGAGTGCAGATCCAGCAGTGATTCCAGAGCACGCTTGGATGTGGCCCCCAAAAACAAAGGGCAAAAACAAGCCAAAAATTGAATTGGTAGCTAATATTAAATAAACTAGTTACATTCTGAAAACATAGTTTATTTTAATTCTGATTCTAGAAATACATAGCCAGTCCGCCTTACAATGGCTTAATGTCACTTGAAAAGTGGAGCTTATTTTTCTATACATAGTGCTAACATTATGCACTCAGTGGTCAGGACATTGTGTTTTCTGCATAGTCTTTTATATTACTCTATAACCCAAGGTCTTAGGAAGGATTCTATAATGAAACTGAAATGATTTGAGAACTTAAGTGTATTTGAAAGTGGAAGTATTCAAATAAACAAAAATTACTCAGGATGGAACAATTCTATTTGAAGGTAGGACAATTTCTATTTCATGAAGAGAAAAATTAGAGCATTCCTTTGAGCAAGGAACTGTGACACTTCCAATGGAAATGTTGAAATCTTTGTATCTAGTTAGGTAATTTGCGGGAAGGCCACTGACTCCCTCCCAAGCGATACTCAGGAGGTCCAGGGATTCCACCAGTGATTCTCTGCCAACTGGGCTGTAAGATCAGCTCAAGAGCCCTGTCATGCCATGGGTACCCACGCCACCAACTGGTGCTAAGGAACGTGTGATACTGGGAATCAAACTTGTTATTCTTTTGGTCCCTGTTAGGGTAATTGTTCATTCATTTTTCATTTCATTTTTAAAGATTTTTAAAAAGTTAAACTTCTTGAGGCAGTGCATAGGTTCGTTTTAGAATTGGTGCAGTTTTTTTTTTAATTTTTTATTTATTGAATCACCATGAGAATAGTCACAAAGCTTTCCAGTTTGTCTCGTTGGGTCATACAATGATCAAACACCCATCCCTTCACCAGTACGCATTTTTCACCAACAAGAACCCCAGTATACTACTACTCCCACCTCTTTCCCTGCCTGTGTGGCAGATTTACACTTGACTCTCTCTCTCTTCTTTGATCAGATTCAATATTACGACAGAAGACCCACCATATTTTTTTTTCTTTTATTTATTTATTGAATCACTGTGGGAAAGGTTACAAAGCTTTCAGGTTTATGTCTCAGTCATGCAAATATCAAACACATTTCCCTTTACCAATACTTATTTTTTACCATGAAGAACCCCAATAAAACCCCACCCCCCACCCCTCCCCGTCCCTGTGAGGCAGATGAATTCTAGTTAACACTCTATCTGCT